AGGAGAGTGAAGAAGAGACGAGGCCGGCGGCCGGTCCCAGGGTATGACTGAGCGTTCGTGTCCGTGTGTCTGGCACGCACGAGTGTGCGGGATCCGCCGCTAAGCTCTCGCCTCTCTGGGGGTTTGGTGCTGGACTGTGGGGACCCCCCAGGGGACCCCCCAGTGCAGTGTGTTCCAGATATTGCAGTGCCTGGAGGCGTTCATTCCTCGGGTGGCCGTCTAGTGCTGTGCCTGGCTGTGCTTCGGGGGGTGGGGAGCCCCGACTTTTTGTCTCTGTCCCTCTCATTGGCCCGCCGTTCACTGGTCCACATACCAGTTGGCGGACAGAGTCACCGGGTGCCCTCTGCTAGCGAGGTGACGGGGCCCCCCCTTCCACCAAGACCAAGGTGAAGCGGAGCCTGTCCGGGCGCACCAGCTGGGCGCCTGGTCCCTCCCGCTTCTTGGGCTCTCCCACGGTGCCGGTTCCTGCAGGGAGAAGCCGCCCGCCAAGGCCTCGGCTCCCCCCACCCCCTTCTGTTCCTGGGGAGGTGCCTCTGCTCCCCGCTTGTTCTGGGGGTGGCGGGAGCCGGCTCCTCAGGCCACGATGGGGGTGGTGGTGAAGAGCCCTGCACTCGAGCCTGGAGAGGGAGGGTGAGGGGGGAGGCGGGAGGCAGACCCTGCCCGGAGCACGTCTGCAGGTGTCTGACCTCCGGTCGGCCTTCGCCCCACAGTGCGGGGCGGGCGTGGGTGTGAGTTGTGTTCCTCGATGCTCCTGCGTCTCTCAGGGGCTTGCCCGCGTGCTCTTAGTGTGGCGTTTGGGTGGTGCTGATGCGGGTCATTTAGTTCATATTACCACTGACCTTTGTGAAGGTTTCCACGGGCTCCTCAGTGGACAGTGAGCCCCCAAGGGCGTTTCTGAGCCCCCCGTGATCCTGGGCGCCGCCCTGGGGGGTGGGAAGGCTCTCGATAAGTAAACGTACACCATCTTGTCCCGGGGGCCGGAAATCCAGGAGGTGGGATTCGCGTCTTCCGGGGGCTCCGAGGAGAACCCAGCCCGGCCTCTCTCCTGGGTTCTGGTGGGCGGTGCCCGTCCTTGCTGGTGCCTGAACACGAATTTGGGGATTGCTTTTCAACCTGGTGCAAGGGCTTCAATTCTGACGCCCTCCTCTCTGGTCCCGAAACCCCAGAGGATGGGCCTGGGGAGAGGCCCCACTGGCTGTTCACGGGGCAGAGCTCGTGCCGGCCCCTGGTGAAAATTCATGACAGCCCGGGTGTCGCGGGTTCAGTCACTTTGCCCCAGAGTTCGCCTGTGGGCGTCCTCGGCCCTGGATCCCGCAGGTGACCTTGTGTGGAGATGGGGTCTCGGCAGAGTTAAAATGGGTCACTGGGTGCCTGGGCCCAATACCAGTGGTGTCGTCCTAAGAGAGGACGTGAGGATGTGGGCACCGTCCCAGGGAGACGCCAGGGGAGGTGGCAGCAGAGACGGAGCAGCCCCCGGAAGCTGGGTGGGGCCTGGGGCAGGTTCCCCACGGCCTCAGACAGACCCAGCCCTTGACCCTGAACTGTGAGACGGCCCACCCCCAGTGCCTGAGCCTCCTGGGTTGTGGCGCTCTGTGACAGCGGCACAATGACACACGGTGGCCCCACTGTTTATGGAACGGGGCTGTCCCTGCATCTGCGCCTTCCTCTGGTCCCGCCTGGCCCCCTCTGAAAGTGGCTGTGAGTATCTTCGCAGAGTCCACTCGCCCTGGGGGAGACTGTGGGTACAGCAGCTTGCAGCCTCTGCTGTGGGTCACGCCACCCACGGCTGCCCAGGAGTGGAAGGGGGCCCCTCCCAGGGTCTAGGGGCTTGGGAGGGTCGGGGCGAGGGCTGGGCCCTGCGGCCGGGGGGAGCTCTGCCCCAGAGCCTCTTTCCTAGGGAGGCTGGCGGGTCAGGAAACTGGGGGGCTGGGCCGTAACGAGGGAAAGGAGAGCGAACCCTGCAGCCTGGTGGACGGTGACCCTGAGACTGGAGCATGTCCGTCCGTCAGACCTCAGGTGTTTATCTACTCAGAGCTGAACTCCGAGGGGGTGAGCGATGTTACTGTCGCCCCGAGTGCGCCTGAAAGCTGCCAATGAGCTCGAGACATGAGTCACTTCCTTGACTCTGCCCCCCCCCCCCCGTTCTAGGTGTCCTGCCCGTGGGACCACAGCTGGGTTGAAGGTGGCCATGTCCCCGAGCCCATGGACACACGGCCCCAGCTTGTCCCCCGGGAAATGTGCGGTCCGCTCCCGCGGGCGCAGTTTCTGCCAGCCCGCCCCCTCTCTTGCCGAACTGTGGGTGCCCCGAGCCTTTGCCAACACATCAAGCGCAACACTCAATACCGAGGACGGTCCCCAGGCAGAAGTGGGGACGGGGAGACATGACCTGTGGTCACGGAAACCAGGAAACAGCCAGTCTGAGGACTCGGAGCCCCGCACAGACGGCGGGGTACACAGACGAGGGGCATAAGGCCCCACGACAAACACGGCGACAATTCTGTGGGGAACGTGCTCTAATGGGCCGAAAAGTGGCGAATTTCAGGACACTCAGGGATTCTAAAGAAGGGCCAGCGGAAACCGTGGCGCTGAGAAATACCGTGTGGTCCAGCCCAGAAGCCGCCGGAGCCGGGGAAGGGAATACTGAACCGGCCCGGCAGAATCCAGAGCAGGGGAGGGGGGACAGCACGAAGGACAGAGGGAGCAGGGACCGAGTGCGGGGGATGGGAGACCTGTCAGCAGCTACTCGAGGGTCCAGACGCCCCGACCTGGGGGTCAGAGGGTCAGACGGGATGGAAGCCACGCCCAGCTCTGTGCGCCATTCACAGGGTCGAGGGTCCAGCGGGAAGACACAGGTGGGTTGAGACTCATTGTGTGGGGAACACGTGCCAGCCCTCTTTGCCCTGGGGGTCCCAGGAGAGGGTGTAGAAATGGGGGTGGGGCCTGGAGGCCTCGCCCAGTGAGAGGGGCGCAGCTGGGAGAGGGCCAGCGGGGTGGCCTGGCTGGGAGGGAGGGGGCGGAGTCAGACGCCCCAAGTCCAGGACTTACACAGTGTCCGGCACATAGTACGTGCTCAGTACAAGGTGGCTCGTCGTTTCTGGTCTTCATAGAACGGAACAAGGCCACCCACTCCAGACTCCGAGCTCGGTGACCGAGTCCCACAGGGCGTGCCCACCCTGTGTGCTTTGGCTCAGACTCCGACCGGTGCCACATGCCAGGCCTCCATGCTGTGCTCGCACTGATTGTGGGCTCAGAAAGCTTCCCCTCCACCCGTCCGTCTGTCCACATTTCCTCCTGGGAGGAGTCGCCCCTACCCTTCCCCTTCTGCGGTGCCCTCTGCTCCCTAGGACCTCGTGTGACCCAGGGTGGCCTCCTCTGGGCGGGCTCTGTCCTGTCCCCGCTGGCCCGGGCGCCCTGAGGCAGCCATTGGCTCTGCCCCCCGCTGCCCGGCCTGGCGGGCAGCCAAGCGCCAGGCTGACTGCAGAGCGGAGGAATTTCACTTCGGTTCAGGAATCCCTGCTGGAATTTTCCGTTGAGATAAGTGAGGGTGAAGGTTTCAGGCAAGGCGGGGAGGGTTGCCGCCCGGGAGATAAGGGCTTGGTGGAAGGTCTGTGTGGCCGATCGCCGCCCTTCACCCCTCCTCTGCCTGGGGGCCGCAGAGGAGGGGGAGCCCTCGCTCCCCCACAGATCCACAGCGCGGAGACCTGTTGCCTGCCTGGGCCACACTGGGGTCTCTTCGTAGGAGGGGAGGCCGTGGGTCTCGGTGCGGTGCCCACCCTCGGCCCTGAGAAGCGCATCCAAACCTCAGCAACGTTCACGGAGCGGGCACGGTGGGGCTGGCTCGGTGGGGCCCGGCCGAGTGAGCCCGGTGGGGGCGGGGGAAGTTATCGAAGGCTGACCTTCAGGAGAGGAACCGGGTGCCTGGCTGCCTCGGGGTGTCACTGTCACCTGGGAGCAGAGGCTGAACAGCCCTTGTTGCCACCCGGAGATCCCTCAGACCCAGGCGGGTGCTCAGTCCTGGCCAGCCCCAGGGGCCCTCGCGGCTCCAGGATTCTGTGATCGCGCACGTCTTTCCAAAGGGGAACACGCATGTGGAGTGTGCCGCCCGCACTCGGCGGCCTGGGCCGGGGGCTCAGCGGGAACTGTCCCTGTTAACGCTGATGCACGAGAGCTGACCCCGTGCCCAGAGAGAAAGTGGGAAGGTCCCACGGCCATGGACAAGGGATGCCCTGGTCACGGAGTAACCGGCCTGTGTGTTATCCCCGCCTGACTGGCGTGGGCCTGACCTCGGGCCGGTGGGGTTCTGACCGTCTGTGGTCCGCGCCCATCCTCCCCGCCGGCAGTGTGGGTGCCTGAGCCTCCAGGAGGGACGCAGTCTTCGGGCTGAAGCGTGAGGGCCTCTGGGTCTCCTTCCCGGCGGGCGGTTCTCCCTGGGCCGGGGTCAGGGCACAGCGGCAGTGAAGGAAGGTGGGGAGGCGCCGCCGACACCCTCGCCTGGGAGGTGAGGAAGCAGAGGGCTGGCTGGTGAGGACCCTGCGGAGTTTGGGGGGAGGCCCCTCCGGGTGAAGTGGGTCGTTAGGTCGTTTGGGGTTGGCCCAAGCCTGAGGCCCCGGGGGGGTCTCACTGTGTTTCCCCCCACCCCGGGGCCGCGTGCCCACCCTGTGTGCTTTGGCTCAGACTCCGACCGGGGCAGGATTCTGCAGCAGCTCCCAGGGTCCTGCCTGGCTGTGATGGCTCCGCAGAGGAGCACAGTCAGCTTGGAGGGTCACCAAGCTGACAGGTGGCACTACAGAGCCCCTGTCCCCTGGTGGCCCCCGGACCGGCCCACCTTGTCCCTCCAGCAGGCCCCCAGGAGCTGGCTCACAGCCGTCCGTGGCAGGGCTGCGCTCACCTGCCCGAGACGCCCCTCCTCTTCTGGGCCGAGAGCAGCCCCTGGGGGAGAGCAGGGAGGGGGCTGTTGACACCAGGTCCCCGCCGGGCCCAGCAGCTCCGTGTGCTGGGTGGCAGCACACGCCTGACAGGAGGCTCACTTCCGGTTGGGCGCCCAGGTGCTCCCCGCTCTAAGGTCCAGCCTCCCGCCCTGCCCTGTCCCAGGTGACCACATGACCAGAGGACCTTGCCCTGGGAGCCCGGCAGGAGGAAGTGTCCTAACGCGAGCTGCTGGTGTCGGGGGGCTGGGCGCTGCCTGGGGCACAGACCGCTGCCTCCACCCGGGCTGTGGAGCCTGCCCACCCCCCCCAGACGCCCCAGCTGCAGCGGGAAGCCGACCCCTCCCCCAGACACAGGGAGACAGGTAGGGGCCCTGCAGGGCCGGGGGGCGAGGCTTCCTGGAAGTGCCCAGGCCTGGGGGCCTGTCGTTTCTACTGCCCACTGTGCACTGGGCAGAGTGTGTGTGTCTGTGTGTGTCTCTGTGTCTCCGTGTGTATGCATGTCCATGCGTGTCCATGCGTGTCTGTGCATGTTCCCACTCGTGAATAACCCAGGGGGCACAGCGAGGGAAGGGGCCCGTTCTGCAGAGGGCTGCCCCGCCGTGTTTGGAGCTGGGTGGGGGCAGGGGCCTGGGAGGAGACTCCTGCTTGAAGCTCAGCTCTGGGCCTCACAGTGAAGGGCTGTGGCCAGGGGGGCCCCAGGCGCTCACGGGAACCCCGGGTTCCTTACAGGCTGGGAAGGGCCACACCCACAAGGGACGCCTGACAAGGGACCTAGAGACCCCGAATTCCTGCAATGTTCCCCCCCCCCCCAAAGACTAGTTAGGGCTTGTGTCCCGACCTTTCCTCGGGGCACAGGAGACAGAAGGCCTCTCCAGGTGGCGGGAGGGCGCATCTGGGCCCAGCTCACCAGCACCAAGCTCCAGAGACCCTCTCCGTGCCGGAAAGACCCCAGACTCTCCTAACAGCACCTGCAGGTGGGCTCCCGCTTCCTCCCTGAGCAGAGGGCTTCGGCCTCTCCTCACGCACAGCTCGCCACCTGTGATTACACAGAAAACGGCTCACGACAGTGGGTGGCGGGTCTGACTTCCCGCTGAGGGAAAAGCTGAAACCAGCCAAGATGCAGCCGGAGGGTCTGGGGGCAGCAAACCAGCGGCCGTGGGAACGTCTCAGCGTCAGGAAGCAGGTGGAACCTAGGGAGCAGCGCACGAAGCTGCCTTTGGTTCGGGCCGTTTTTGAAGGTCGGGTACGGAAGTGTGTGGGGAATTTGGGTTTCGGTTTGTTTGTTTTTAAGATCCACTTAAAAACAAGCCTAGAAGAAAGCAGGCAAAATGTGATGCCTGGCTGCATAGAGGGCACGGGATGACGCGTCATGCACACGTCTTGTTTGTGATGATGATGAGGCTGCAGAGGCCACAGCCTGCGAGAGAGACCAGCCATTTAAAAATAGCCCAACGAACGTAGGCGGAGTTGGAAATGGAGATCCCTCCGGGAGAAGGGGAACTGGGCGGTGCAGGCCATGCGGCTATTTGATTGACGGCTACTTATGGGGCTGGACACCTGCTGGGGCAAGGATGGCAGCTGGGGCCTGGGAGGGGCTGCGGCCCGAGGGGCGTTTGCATCCACTGGGACTCAGAGAAAGGAGCAGGCCCAGAGGCCCCTCCCGGGGGCCAGTACCCCGTTCCTCAGACGGTGGGGCTAGTACATGATCTCTGGCTGCCTGGGACTTGGAGGCGATACTGTGTTACCTTTTCTGGGGCTTCGCTCGGAGTTCTGGACTCGGGGAACCAGCGGGGCTGTAAATTTTATTCCTGGATGGCCAGTGGGTCAGAAACCTGGGGAATGAATTGCTCTGAGATTCTGCACTGGGGGGTGGGGCGGGTTCTGGGAGAGCAGACCGGCCCTGCTCTGCTGGGACCCTCCCAGGGTGGCGGCGGTCTGTGAAACAAACGTAGGGGTCCAGGGCATCCCCACACCCCCACAGGGCCAGGCAGGCCGGGACCACTGGCTCTGCAGAGCCTGCCCCCTGCAGATCCCCCCACCAAGACCCTGCCCCGGCCCAGGTCACTCCTCCTCCGCCTCGGGCGCCCAGACACGGCCCCCACTCAGGCAGACACTTCGGAACAGTGAGGTTTCCACCTCTCCCTGTGTCTCCCTCCCTCCCTCTCTCCCTTCCTTCCTTCCTCCGAACACCAACTTTTGTTTCCGACAGAGATTTTTGAAACACCAAGCTTCCCAGGTAGCTTGCTTTAAAAAAATTTTTTTTTTAAAATTTATTTTCTAGAGAGAGGGGAAGGGAGGGAGAGAGAGAGAAAAGCATCAGTATGCGGTTGCCTCTTGTGCTCCCCCTGCTGGGGACTTGGCCTGTAACACAGATATGTGCCCTGACTGGGGATCAAACCAGCGACCCTGTGGCTTATAAACCAGCATGCAACCCACTGAGCCACGGCAGCAGACCGCGCTTTGAGAGGCAAAATTTAACTGATGAATCCCAAACAGTGAGCGCGCTTTCCCTCCCAGGTGTTTCCAATACTTTTGGGGAGAAGTAGTAGATTTTGAAAAGCGAGGGTTAGTGGAACAGAGACCGTCAGCCTGCAGGGTGACCGGCCTGTCATGGCCGTGCCTTAGGGCTGGGCCATGGGTTGTGCAACCGTCCCTCCCGGCACCAGAGACACGCTTTCCACACATAGCTGCCCGGCACCCCTCAAACACAGCTCCAGCCCCCACTTTCCTGGTGGGAACATGGGGCGCAGAGTGGAGCAGGGGTTTTGCCCGCAGGCCTCTGACTTGGGGAGCTCTGCCTGCCTGTCCATCCATCTGTCCGTCCGTCCCTCTGCCGGGAGGCAGTGCTGTGGGGTGAACTGGCTGAGGTTGTTTGGTGGTGGCCACCAGGGGACCTGCAGTCGCTGTGTGTCTCCGCAGGGCATGGCGCAGGCGGCAGGGGCCCCGCGGCCGGGGGCTGGGCAGCCGCCCCTGGTGTTCAAGCTGGTGCTGCTGGGGAGCGGCTCCGTGGGCAAGTCCAGCCTGGCCCTCCGCTACGTGAAGGACGACTTCAGGAGCACGCTGCCGACCGTGGGCTGTGAGTGACAGGCCGGCTGCCCTGTGTTCGTCCCCCAGCGGAGACGCCAGGGCACTGCCCCGGGGTCTGGGGGGTACCTGGGGCACAGCGGAGTTTAGCAGTCCTCCTTGATCCGATGAGATGCTGGCCCACGGGGCCAGCACTGACTCACGGGGCACCCTCTTCGTGGCAGTCACTGCGCCGGGCGTTGGGGATGTCGAGCTGAGGAAGCCGTCCTTTGCTTCTACCAGCTAAGCCCCAGGGGCACCAGGTGCTCTTGTCCACCTCCGAGCCTGCTGCACATACCTGTACCTGAGGGCTGGGCAGCCTTTGGGGTCACTGCGATCATCACCTTATTGGGGAGGAAGTAATAGATGGTGCCCACCCCCAGCACCATCTATCACTGTCACAACACACCGGTCAGCACGGTATCCCTGCGTCTTCTGTACCAGCGTAGCTGTCACGCCACAGCCGTGGCTGGATGTGGACGTTGCCACTCTTCGGATGAGGACATGGGCCGTTGTCCGTCCTCAGTGTGTGTGGCAGCCGTCTGTGCTGAACCAACTCCCACGAGGGCGGGCGCTGGTTTCTTTCTCAGGCTCAGCGTTGGCTTCATGAACAAAACCTTGTGTCTGTTTGTGGGGGGAGGGGTGAGCCTAGGAGCAAAGCCCCAGAGCGACTGGGGGGCTGGCTTCCTGCGGGGGCCGCTGGGAGCTCACAGGTGGTGGACCGGGGGTCGCACTGCAGGGCTGCTCAGTAAAGGTGAGCTGACGACCAATGGCCCGTCTCCATGTTTCCACTGGGGATACGGGATGGGAGTGTCCCCTGTGGCGGGCTCCCTGAAACCTGACATCTTCAGTCCTGGATTACAGTGTCAGGATGTAAGGTGGTCACCCTTGGGTGCTGCCCCCTTTCCTCAGACGTCCGCCCCACACTCCCGAGAGCAGGGTGGGACCAGGCCCGGCAGGTCCCTGCTGGCACCAGCTTCCGGGCAGGCCAGCTCCAGGACGCCCCAGCTCTCAGGAAGATGGGGAGTCCCTGGCCTCCCTCTGGAGGGTCTGGACCCGAGGGTGAGTGTGTGGGGTGGCTCACAGCAGAGGGTGCCGAGCACAGGGCGTGGCTCCGCCCAGCAGGTCATGGGCTGGGCGGCGCACCAGCCATCCCAGGGCAAGGCCCTGCCCACGCAGAGGAAGAGGAGGGGAGCTGGAGTCGCAGCAGCAGACACAGAGCTGAGTCAGAGTGGGACCCCCAAGTGAGCACAGCCCCCTGGGGGCTGAGCCTGCTGGCAGGAGACTGCAGAGCCCTGGGACTGCGGTCCACCCCCAGGGACCAGGGTGGCTTCGGCCCCTGCAGGAGAGGGGCTGGCAGGGGAGGCTTGCGACTGCCTCCTGCTGGAACCCTCGGGCCACAGTGGGGCAGTGCCGGTGCACTCGCTGCCGCCCGGTGGTAGGGACATCTTTCGGGGGCATAGTGACACCTAGTGGTCGTGTGCGCACTTGCCAGCGGGAGCCACAGTGAACCCCAGACGATAGGCCTGTGTGGGGAGCGTGCATTACTGTTTTAAGCCAGCCCGTTGGGGGTCTTGTGTTACGGCCGCCCCAGGACGCTGGCCTGCGGGCCTCACAGCGGAAGTCCCGTTCCGAGCACGCGGCTGCGGTCGCCAAGCTCTCCCAACAGGCTCCACAGCCCACGCGGGGCGGGGGCGGGTGGAAGGGGCAGCAGCTTTGCCCGGAGCCCTCCCCTGCCAAGCCCCGCCTACCCGACTCTGCTGGCTCCACCCCCGGCTGAGTTCCTTGCACCCCGCACACTTGGCGAGGGCAGAGCGCACCGCGGTTGGAAACTGACACGCTTCCTCCAGCAAAGCCCCGATCGTCGAGTTAGGGCCCTGAGAGTTTCTCTTCCCACTCAAAGCCTCTGGTACCCGACAGCGGGTCTGAGCACATCACCCTAGACACTTGGCTTCTGATGGAAGGAGCCGCCTTCCAGAACAGGGTTGCTCAGCCTCCCCGACTGCGGGCGGCAGGAAGCCCGCGCCTCTGCGGTTTGCGGAGTGGTTGGCTGAGCGCAGGGCTCGCCGCAGCCCAGCCTGGGCGCCGGGGAAGGGCAAGCCACCTCTGGGCCTCCGTGTTCCAGGTGCGTTCTTCACCAAGGTGGTGGATCTGGGCGCTGCGCCTGTGAAGTTGGAGATCTGGGACACGGCGGGCCAGGAGAAGTACCACAGCGTGTGCCACCTCTACTTCCGGGGCGCCAACGCCGCGCTCTTGGTGTACGACATCACCAGCAAGGTAAGGCTGCCCTCGGGCACGTTGCCACCGGGCTTCGCGAGGCACCTGCCTGTGCTCTCCGGGCACTAGGGTGCTGTCTTCCGAGGGCACAGTGGGGCTGGCCCGTCCTGGTGCTTTGTGGAAGCATCACGACAACCAGCAGGGGCATGTCGATGGAAGTGGGTCGCCTCCTGCAGGAAGCCCTCCCTGACCACCCCTTCTCTGTGTGGCTGGGTTTGTGCCCCTTGGCGACCTCTGTCACTGCCTCTCAGGACTCCTTGAGTGCCCACGAGTGGATGAGGGCGTGTCACAGAAACAAGGTGGACACGGCCCCCGGCTGCAGGTCCTGTACAGAGAGTGACACCAGAGCCGGAGGGGGGAAGGGCTGACAAGACAGCCACTGAACCCGCCCGGTCAGGTGGGGGAGGGCTTCCTGCAGGAGGGCTCCTGCAGAGATGTGGGGGGAGAGCAGGGGTCTGCCCTGCTTTGTGGCAGGGGAGCAGAGGGGAGGGAGTTGCTGGGAGCAGGCAGACCCGTGGGCTTTGCTGTCAGGAGGGAAGGGGCTGCGTGGGTCCCAGGGCAGGAGCCCGCTGTCTGGCCTGCAGGGACCCTCCGGCAGCGTTGGTGGGGGAGGGGCGCCCTGGGGTCCAGACCAGGCAGGCGGGAAGAGAGAGAGCAGTGTCCTCCTGGGGATGGAGCAGCCTGGGCGGCCTGGGGGAGCTGTCACAGGGTCCGTGGGGTCACAGGGCACCTCTCACAGTGCGGCCTTCTCTTTCCCGGACAGCGACCAAACCGCCCACGTGGCTCGTCTGCGCTCACTTCTGTCCCGTTTTCAGGAGTCCTTCCACAAGGCTCAGCAGTGGCTGAAGGACCTGGAGAAGGAGTCCTCCCCGGGGGAGGTCGTGGTGATGCTGGTCGGCAACAAGGCGGACCTCGGCGAGGAGCGGGAGGTGCCGTTGGAGGTAGGACTGAGGCGGGGCATGGTGTGTGTGGTGTGTGCTGTGTGTGCACGTGGTGCGCCTGTGGGGTGTGTGTTGGTGTGCGAGCGGAGGGTGTCCGTGTGTGCGGATCTCAGAAAAGCCTTTGGGAGCAGCGGGAAGGGAGCGCAGGAGAGGGACCTGGGGGGACAGGCGGGGGCTGGGCTGCAGGGCTGCCTGAGGGGTGGGTGGGAGCCAGGGGCCCCAGGCGGGGGTGCGGGGGGCCTGCCAGAGGCCTTGGGGCTTGGAGGCCCCGTGTGCTGCAGTGAGAACAGGGTGCTTGGTGTGGGGCGCAGCGAGTCCCTGGAGGGTGTGCGCCCCTGGGGTGGGGACCACCGTTGAAAGGGCGCTCCTCGTCCTCAGAGAGTCGGGGAGGCCAGGTGAGGCGGAGGCAGGCCCGGGACACCGGCGGGGGGAGCGCTGGAGACACAGCCCAGCTCTGGGGGGGCGTGTGCCGGGTGGCCCCTGTCCCGACACCAGTCGTGGGCCAGCCACAGCCTTCCCTGGGCACCTGTCCCCTTGGGGCACACTCTGCAGCCCTGGTGCTGTCCCCTGTGCCCTGGGACCTCCCCGCTTCACGCAGGCTGGGCCCATGTGGGAGACACAGAGGGGCCCAGAGGAGGGGCCCCACAGGTGCCCCCGAAGGCGGCCTCCCCAACTTGTCTCCCCCAAGCCCCCGCTGCCCCTGGCCCGTGGTCCCCGAGGAGCAGCACTTGGCCACGAAGAGGGGACAAGTCGGTTCCCAGGGGCTGCGCCTGCCGTGCGGGTCTCACGGTCAGGGGTGGCAGGTCAGCAAGCTGGAAAGGAGACAAAACGAAACCCAAAACAAAAGTGGCTGACCCCGCCACATGGGGCCACCGAGTGCTTGAAGAGAAAGGACATCCGCTCAGTGTCCTTGGGAACTCTGTGAGTGCCGTGGGCTGCCCTGCCGACTTCCTCAGGAAGGCAAGGAGTTCGCTGAGAGCCAGCGCTTGCTGTTCATGGAAACCTCCGCCAGAGCCAACCTCCAGGTGACCGAGGCCTTCAGCACCGTTGGTGAGTGGGGGGCCGGGAGGGCCGGGGTGGGGGTGGTCATCTCTGCCTCTGCCTCAGCTGGTCTGGTCTGGCCCCCCGAGCCCAGCAGGAGGTCACCAGGGACTGGACTGGGAGGGGAGCGGGAGAGTTGGGGCGGAGTCTCACGTTGTGGGCACCAGCGGGGGGGGGCAGGGGGATGGCCGATGCAGGTGGGCAGTGCCGTGCTGGAGGACTGTCCGCCCACCACCCCTCTCCTTCTGTGCCCCCAGCCCGGGAGCTGCTGCAGAGGGCAGAGAGGGAGCAGCGCCAGACTCCGAGGGGAGATGCCCGACTGGCCTTGAACCAGGGGCCCACAGGGTGGGCCAAGTGCTGCACCCACTAGAAGTATCCACTCCAGGAGGGGCCTGGGGAGGGTGCCCCTGGCCTGGGCCCGGCTGGTCCTCAGGGTGAGCCACTGCCAGCCCCGTATGGACCGCAGCACTTGACTCTGGGTCAGCGTTGAGGCTGGTTGGTCCCTGGAGGGGCCCGAAGCTGATGCCCCTCAGCACAAGTGCCCCGCAGAGCCTTGGGGGTCATTCGGGAGAGGACCGGCGTCCGACAGCCTCAGTTCCCACCCCTGGGCGCAGACTGAATCCCAGGTGCCCAGGTGAGGCATGCCCGCCCCTGCCTGGCACCCCTGGCATCCCCTCGGCTGCTCAGGGCTCAGAGGAACAAAACGGGTCACAAGTGAAACGGGGCAGGACAGGGTCTGGATGGCTGTGGTGGGTGCATGGTCCTCTTACCCCAGGGGCTGGGCAGGACCCGGCTGCTGCTGGGATTGACGAGAGGACGGAGCAGGCCCAGGGGAGGGGGAGTGACCATCCCGGGGGTGGGCCCATGTTCACTGGGCCTCAGAGAAGTTCCCCTGGAGGGGTGGCAGCGGCAGGGGTCTGTGGGGGGCCCTGTCCCAGCTGCAAGTTTGCTGAGGCCACGCTGGTGCCCAGTGAGCTCTTGTGAGGCCGAGCCTGCTGGCCCGAGGTGGAAACTGTACCACTTAGGGGTTTTTCTTCAAAAATTAAACCACTTTCTATAACCTGGTCTTTGGTGAGTTTGTAAGGTGGGGGTCTCATTGCCCATTTTCGAGGTGGGCTGGTCTCTGTGAGGTTGCATCGTCCTTGGCTGCGTCCCCGCCAAGGTCATGACCCCTCTCACGGGGCCTCCCTCCCAAATCCAGCAGCCCAGTGCCCTGAGCCTCCCTGCATCTCCCCACACCTGGGGGGCTGCCCCGGTGGGATGGGGCGGGGGTCCCGATGGGAGCATCGTCTATTCGGGGAGATGGGAACCACCCAGGTGTCCCCTGGTCCAGACTTTCATGGCACTTGCTCTAAAAGACACTTCTCAGGTGACCTGTGACCCTTCCAGACAGAAGCGGAGCAGATTTCTCAAGGCTCTTTCTGGTCGTGACCTCTGAGGGAAGCGAAGGGACAGATACAGTGACAGAGTCCCCCTCCCAGGGACAGGGACCACGGGGCAGAGGAACAGGGTCACACACCACCGGGAGCAGTCCCATCCGTGGGCCATTCTACCAGGTGACGCTTCGGGCTCCGGTACAAGTCAAGGCTGCAGCCCGGTAAACGGACCAGGAGCTAAGGGGCGTCAGGAACTGTGCCCGGGGCTGCGGGGCGGAGCCCGGCCTTCCTGGCGGACGTGGAGGCGTCGCTCGTGGACTGGACGCTGGACCGCGTGTCGGAATCATTCAAACTGCGCAGGCCCACAATCCCGTGATTGTGTCCGAGACCGTCCTTGTTTTTGGGGAAACATGCTGAGCTGAGCAGGGGAGAGTGTGGTGTCCCCAACTTCCTCACCAAGGGTGGGGAGAGAAGGGTGTGGAAGGGAGCTCGGGGATGAGTGTCGGGTCCGAGGGCGGGCGCGTGGCGCTCACTGTGACAACTTCCGAATGTTCTCGTGGGTTTGACGACGTTCCTGATGCGGCAGAGAACATAAAGCCGTCTGCATCTCCATCCCTGGGGACACGGCTGCCCTCACCAAGGGCCGCAAACAACAGCACTGTGTTGCCCTGGAGCCTGGAAGCCGGAGAGGAGGTGGGGGCAGGGCTGGCTCCCGAGGCGGGAGGGGAGCCGCCAGGCCTCTGCCCTCTTGGGGTCCTGGGTGTGCAGAACTCTGACCATCCCCCCATCCTCAGAGGGCGGCTCCCCCGAGTGGGTCTGTGTCCCAGCTCCCCCTTTATAGGGACACCGCTGTGTTGGATTGCTGCCCCCAACCTCATCTTAATGACTCACTGCAGTAACCCTTGTTTCCAAGCAGGGGTACATGAGGAGGTCCTGGGGCTGGGACTTCCACCCCCGGACTCTGGGGACCCACGTCAAGGGCAGCTGGGGAGCCTGCAGCTGTCTGGGGTCCAGCCCTCACATCTCCCTGAGCTTAGAGGTGGCGAGTGCTGCCACCTGCTGGTGGGCCACAGGCAGAGCGGGCACCTCTGATGAACTTGGGAAGGTCCTTCCCTCCAGGCCCCCTGGGGGCAGGTCTCCATTGGTGGCCCTGTCACTGCCCCATCTGACAAGTGACGGCAGGCTGGCTGCAGGTGACCAGGATGACCCGGGTCCTCTGCCCCCTGATGAGTACCCTCCAGGCTGTTGGGCTCTGAGGGTCCCCGCTGCGGCACCACACAGACGCATGCACATGAGGCCAATTTTATTAGAGTTGACGGGAAAGCAGCCCTGGGGGGGGGGCTGCTGGGTCACTCCTCCTGTACCCGGCTGACAGCCACCCTGGGGGGGCTCCGCGCCTCCTTCCAGGGGGAAGCTGCCCACTGGTGCCACGGGCTCAGCCTCGGGACGGTCCTCAGGGCCACGGTCCTTCGGCCGAAGCGGCCCACAGGCCTGATTCTGCGGCCGGTGTACCAGGCAGGGTCAATGTCCGGGGCTGGAAGGAGAGCACAGAGCCGCTGTGCCCGCGTCCCCCGCCCCCTGTGCCCAGGGCCCCACCCGCATCCCCCCGAGTGCCCCGGATCCTGCCCATATCCCCCCGTGTGCCCGGGGTCCTGTGTGTGGTGTCGTGGGCTCCTGCATGACCGAGGCACTGCCCACAGGGCTCTGAGCTCACGGCTGCCCAGTCCCCCCGGCCAGGCTGGGACCCTGCAAAGGAGGGGCACCCAGAGGGCCAATTCAGGGTGGCGGGGTAACTTCTGGAAATAGGAATTCAGACTCACACCAGGACCAAGGAGAAAACCCCTGTTCTGCCCACCCACTCCTGTGCCGGGGTGGGCAAATCCTGCTTGGCCCCAGGCCACCCCGGTGTGGGGAAGAGAACCCCTCAAACATGTGCTGGGCAGGGGCACTGGGGAGCAGGTGGCAGGGCCATGCGGACTGAGGACGGTGAAGAGCAGGCGCCCCCGCCCGGAGCTGGGGTCCTCAGTGAGGACAGCGCCCCAGCTGAGGAGGGGGCCCCGGGCAGGGAGGGGTGGGAGGGGCAGGTGAGGGAGGCCGGCCAGGCCGGGCGGGGCACTCACTGCGGATCTCCATCGAGTGCTGGTGGGCTCGGCTGGCAGCCCCCCGCAGGGCCAGGCTCAGCAGCAGCAGGCACAGGAGCCAGGCCTGCAGCAGCTCTGCCCCCCTGGCTCCCCGTCGCGGCCCAGCTGGCGGCGGGACCCCACCTGGAAGGGCACGGCCTGGGCAGAGGGGCAGGAGCCACGTTACCCTCTTGGGGGGCACAGAGCTGGGGGCCTAGATACCGTGAGTGCTGTGTGTGTGAGAGTGCGTGCGTGCACACGTGTGAGGGGTGTGCTCAGGCATGTGCTTGTGTGTGCATGAGTGTGCGCATTCCCGGCTCTGCCTGCAGTGGGCGAGCACAGAGGCAGTGGGCTGTCCTGGCAGGGCCCCTCCTGGGCCTTGTACTGACCTCTGCACAGAGAGCACTCAGCGAGGTGACCGCGCCTGTCAGCCTCTGCTGGGCTCTGTCATTGGAGGGAGCAGGTGGAGGGAGCTTGGGCCACGAGGAGGTGGACTGTCCTGGAATGGCTCGGTCCGTCAGTCCGTCTGCACTAGGGGACCAGGAGGGCGGGAGGCCCCTGCAGGGCTGTGTGCTGAGCGCCCGGGCCGGGGTGGGGTGGGCAGAGGCGAGCGGGTCAGTGGGGAGCTGCAGCGGGGAGGGAGCGCTTGTGCAACCCGAGTCAAGTCTGGGGGTCTGGGGGGCTGTGGGGCTGGGCATGGACCAGGCTGGGGGTTCTTTCCCTCACCCCAGCTTAAGGGGGATGGGAGTGGACCCAGGTGCTGTGGGAGGTCAGCATCCTCTGACCTCACCAAGAGCACGTCCCCTCCCCTGACCCCAGGTCCAGTCCACAGAGTCCCAGATGAGCCTGAAGCAGGTGGGACCTGCTGTCGTGGAGCAGAACACCCCCTGCAGCCGGAGGAGGGGTGGGTGCTTCGGGGGAGGCAGTGACCAGGCGGCCCTTTCAGCCCTTGTCCCCAGCATGTGGGCCTCAGGGCTGACCCTTCTGTTGACCTTGACTTCCCAGCCTGCCCCTGAGCCACAAGGAAGGTGCTGTCTGTCTGATGATTCAAAATGCCCACCCTTTCCTGTTAAGAGAGCTAGTGGGGTGTCCCCCATGGGGAGGGGGACCCCAGCTCAGGTGACAGGAGCACTACGGAGAGTAGAGTGTGAAGAGGCGCGGGCATAGGGCAGGGCGTCCGCTCCCCCGCACCTGCCCCCGGGGCTGGTGGAGGGGGCCCGGCCCCGGTCGGCCCCCCAGGCCTGCTTCCCCGGTGGAGGGTTTGCCGTTGGCGCAGTGGGCCTGACCGGATGCTCACTGGGGTGGCGCTGGTGCCCTTCACCCTTCATCTCTGCCTTCAACAGGGCTTGAGCTCTGGGTGCCCTGGAGCAGCGGGGGTGGCCCTCAGACACAGAACCATGGGGTGGCTGCCCCTGTCTGTCCCTGCCAGCCCCTCGCTGCTGCTGCTGCTGCCAGAAGGCCCTTTGGGGTCCCTTTGGGGAGCCCTGACCCAAACGGGGAGACTTGCAGAGAAGGAGGGCAGAGCGACAGGTCTCCTGTGCTACTCACCGCGGTTCCCCATGACGGTGGTGCTGCTGGTGTCCCTGGTGGTGGCTCAGTCAGCAGCCAGCTCACCCCTTTTATAGCCCCGGGAGGAAGCAGCCGGCCGACCCCCCAGATGTCCCCCAATGCCCCTGCCCTGTCCCTGCCTCCCTCACAGGTGGCGTCAGAGTCTTTGTTTTCTTCCATTTTCTTGTAAGACTCTCATTAGTGGTGTGATCTGTCCCTTCCTGGGTGAGGTAATTGCATTTGGGCCAAGTGGTTTTAAAACACATTAGCCTCCCTCCTTCACGCTGGCCTTCGGGAGACAGCAAGCCAGGCGCCGAGACACGCAGGCCGCTGCCACCGACGCGGGAAGGTGACCGAGTGGAAGGAGAGGCCGCCCACACCTGACACGATGGTCCCACCCGCCTGTGACTTGTCTCAGGCCCGCCCGTCGCTCCCGTGGGGCCCCACATGGCCCCGCTCGTCCTGTCCGTCACTTCTGGTCAGTCTTCATCATGAACGTTTAAGATGGACACGTTTATTGCTATCAGAAACAAATGTGTCGATTTTTATTATCACAGCAATTTGTGTGCATTGGGAAAGAATTTAACGCACGCAGAGAAATGGAAGAAAAAAGCAGGATGGGTGTGTGCGGGGATGGGTGTGTGCGGGGAGGGGTGGGGGAGGGGTACGGCTCTGTTCCCGCCGGTTTCTCAGCGGGTCTCGAGTTCAGTTACTCGTCCCGACTCCCCCCCCACACCCGCACGCACAGAGCCCTCCAGCCCCGTGGGCCGACGCCCGGTCATGAACCCGGGCGGTCAGTGCCATCCCTCTTCGCCCCACTCAGGAAAGCAACACAAGAAAGGGCGAGGGGGAGAGAGAAAGGTCATAGTGGGTGGGTCTTCTGTGTGACCTTCAAGGGGTCTGAATGGCAGCATCGCGAAGAAGGGACAGACCCTCGAAGTTTCCCGAGGGTCAGAGCTTCTAGGGGCGGAGAGCAAGGCGTGGTCCTGTCCCGACGAGCCTCTGCCCCTCAGGGATGGTGGATCATCACCGGTTTCTAAAAACACAAACACACACACAGTAAGTGTGCATGCACAGGAGTGCACACAGACACACACGAGGCACACAGATGTACACACATGCACATGCACGGCTGTTCACAGAGGGAGACAGGAACTTAGACATCTGAGCGTGCATGTAAAACACATGGGCGTGTGCACATACACACTCAGTGGTGTGAATGTGGGTGCACGCACTGGAGTGCACGCAGCGACACACACAGACGCGTTGGTCAGAAGGCGTGAGTCGGCCCGCTGGGGGTTCATCGAGCCCTCCTCGCCCTGGGCTCCCGGCTGCGGATCCTGCGGACACACGTCCCCCATCAGAGGGGGAGAATGGATACAAAGTATCTGACCCTTCAGACTCTGAAACACAGTCTCACTTGAAAGCATTTCTTCCCTCAAGTCCCCACTGACACTTTCTTCTTCATTGTCCTCGGGTCTCCACGGGGATGGCCATGCTGTGGCCACATGGCCTCTTTCCTGGCTAAGCTGGGCCATGCAGGGAGTCCGAGCTCTTGGTCACTTCCCGAATACGTGTCCCCTCATGTGGGGTGGACTAATGGGGGCCGCAATGAGGACGCACACTGCACCTCCCTGTCACCAAGACAAGGAACACCAAGGCCACTCATGGTCGTGCCCCTGCTTTTGTGCGTCTCTGTGATGAGACCCTTTGATGTCCTTTTACAAGCGGCTCCTGGGGAGCAGGCGGCGCTAGCTCCGCCTCCCCGGCAGCTGGTCTCTGCTCAGACATGGGGGGGGGCAGCTGGGAGGCCCGGCTCCCTGGGGCAGGGCTCCAGCAGGCCAGGAGCCGGTGGGACATGTGTGTGGGGCGCTCTGGGACCCAGGGCGTTTGGGCCTTGACCGAGGACCTTGGTCCTGAGTCATCTTGATGGCCCCAGGATGCGAGTGTGACCTCACAGCCCCAGAGGTCGGCTGCTTGTGTAAGGGGCTGGGTCTCCTTACACGGGCGGTGCTGGCGTGAGGAGAGTGGCTCTCCTGCTGCTGGAGACACGGGGACTTTGGTGTCAGAGAAGGGCCTTCGGCCGCACTTCTGAGGACAGAGAACTGGGAACTGAGGACAGAGCCTGCCGCTTCCCGGGCTGGGGGGGCCTGGGATGGCAGCTCTGGAGAGTGTCCTCCTCCCACGAAAGTCCCCTGACTTCAGCATCTGCAGGTGACATTGGCTGAATGGCCTTTACGACACTGGACCGGCCAGTGGGGGTGGGGACAGGGCCCTCACTGCCTCCGGACTGTCCCTGCCCCCGAGCTGAGACCCAGGCCGGGGCAAGCAGAGGCTCATTACTGATTTATCTGGCGCCTTTGAGAAATGCTTCCCATTTTTCTTTAAATCTTTCGTGTGTCCCTTTACATGTTACTTTGCCCCGGTTTCCTCTCCTCGGAGGACTTGCTGCCCACAGGCAACCTGACCGGCCACAGTCGGCGGGGGGGGGGGCCGGGGAACCTACCGCGAAGCTGCGGAGGGTGGAGCCCCTCCTGCCGCTGGGGCTCCTCTGCGTCAGGGACCCGCGGTTCACTGACTTCCGATCGAAGGACTCGCCGTCCTGGCCTTTGGGGAGAACCCGGGGGGGCGGGCTTACTAGTCACACTCGCACCCCAAACGAGAGTCTTCGCCTCCCGAGAAATGAACAAAGAGGTGGCAGCGCAGGCGAGCACCAGCCCAGAAGCCGCCAGAGCTCCGCCCTCCCGTGTCAGCGGCTCAGTGCCCCTGCTCCTTGGCGTTGGCACCAGCCCGAAATCCTGCCCCCCTGGGGCAAGGCCGTGGAGACGTCCCTGCCCTGGTGTGGGGGTGCACCCGCCCCTTTCCTTTCCTTCAGATGTGACAGCCAGGGGGTCTTGGGACTCTGACCTGAGGAGGGGTCAGTCACAGTGGGAGTGTCCGCGGGGGCAGGGGCACCAGCTGCTGGGACCCACTGGCTGCGAAGAAACTCAGAGCCCCCTTCCACACCCATGGGGTCGGGGGGCAGGTGACTCTTACCTTGACCTTCAGGGGAATTACTGAGCTTCCTCTGCAGAAGGCGGGGCACAGCCATGACCTGGAAGGGAGGAGACGTCTCTCAACTACAGTTTTTAGGAATTCCGGGAGCTCGTTTTGGACTTATCATCCCTCCAGATTCCAGAGAATCAGCTGGACTGTCTGTTGTCCTTGGGCAGCATTGGGACTTTTCTCAACGTTAAAATGCATGTTGTCAATCAGTTAAGCGCCAAGTGCCAGGATGTAAGAGACGTTTAGCTCTGGGGGAGCTTCCGGTGGTGCAGGCTGTGAGGGTCCCACACATGTCCATCCTCGGCTCAGTGAGTTTGTGAGGCCGCCAACCAGTCTCCCGCCAGCCACCCCGGGGATCTGTCCTGCCCCTGGACTTTGACTCCTTGTCTGACCGTTAGAGGTCAGTGGGACTCACACACCTTGACTTCGTCCTCAGGGCCTGCGGGCGGGTGCTCGGGGCTCAGGCCAGGGGTCCTCGCACATCGAGGGAGGAGGACCTGGAGGACAAGGGAGCAGCTGCATGTGGTTCCCGCTGCGTGACCTCCAGCCCAGGGGGCCACCGGGTGCAGGGTGGACCTGCTCTCTCCACACCCACAGGGGAGTGCGGGGAAGGCGCTCCAGCCCTGCCCCTCACGCCAACCTGTGTTCTGGGACGGGGCGGCCGGCTCGGCGGAGCAGAGCAGAGGAGAGTTCAGTTTGCTCTGAGCTCCAGACAGAAGCCGGGTTCTGCACGGACGCACTCACGCCGGAAAAGGACCGGCCGCCCTGTGAACTTCGCCTCACTGGTTCTCCCCGGCACCCCTGTCGGAGGCCCTCCCCGGGCACCTTTCATCTGCGGCCAGATTCCCTCCCCGGGGCCATCTGGTCTGCAGGCTCCCAGCGTGTCTCGGGAGAGAAGGGCGTGGGGGGCCCTCCGCCCCTTCCACCTGTCCCAGCCACACCTGTGTCAGCTCGAGGTGCTGTCATTCAAACTGTGTCCTTGGCACTTCAAAGTGCGTGTGCAGGTGGGTGGGTTTGAAATCCTCATGGAAGGAGCGGAGGGCCCCTCAGAAAGTGCTTTCTCCAGTGAGGACAACAAACCACAAACAGAAAGACCCCCCTGGGGCACGGGTCACCGATGGCAGTCAGGACACCGAGTTCACGGAGAGGGGGTGGCAGCCCGGGGCGCTCAGTTCCAGGTCCTGGGGTGACCCTGTGCTCCTGGCCGGAGGTCCGGGCACCAAACCCCTGGGCCCCGTGCTGTCCACTCACCGGGAGCTTGGACCCCCGCCCAGGCTTTCCCGAGGGCCTCACGGTGAGCCCCGCGGCCCGCAAGGCCGCGATCCTGGACTCGATGTCCAAAACCTAGGGGAACAGGGGACGACGACAGATGTCACCCAGATGTCCATCTCAGAGGCGCAGTGCTGGAGAGCAGCTGCCCCGATTCGCCAGTTTTATTGTGCTTCCCTTAAGACTGGGGCCCCACCCAGCTGCACTTCCTGGGGCCCATTCCGTTCGGGTGTGTGGCTGTCGGTGGGGTGGGGTGGGGCTGGGCCACCTCCAGGCAGGACCAAGGGGCTCTGGACACTTCGGGAGAGTGTCGGGAAGTCCGGCTCCCAGCAGGGATGGAGGGGGACAGTGACCGGGGGAGAGAAGCACCAGGGGCTAAGGAGTGGGGCTTTACGGCACCATTGCGACCCTGAGCCGCCCCTCCCACAGCAGCCAGAGGAAGCTGCAGGGAACAGGAACCCACCCATCACCCTGTCGGGCCCCCAGCGGTCCCCAAGCCCTCCCTTGGGACTCTCAAGGCCCTGGCAGTCTCCCTCCCCTTGGACAAGCCCCCACCCTCTGTCTCTCCAGAGGGATCGCTGCTGATGCCTGAGACGCCCAGCTGGACGCACTCCAGGCCCTCGTTCCCCGAGTGCACAGCGCTCGGGGTCTGCGGCCTGTCTCCGCCCACTGCTCGGTCCCTCCGTCTCGGGGTCCCAGCTGGGCCCCTGGTGTCAGGCACTGTGCCACCGCCCTCGGGGGGTTGGAAATTGTTTGCCCAGCACCGGGAGTCGGTGAGTGGAAGTGCTCGGGCTGGCCGGCTCCCCAACAGGCACCGCTCCGGACACCTGCCCCGAGCTTCTGGGCACCGAGGGTGCCTGTCGATGAGCAGGGACGTGGGGAGGGCAGTGGGTGCCGATGACCGCAGGGGCAGACCCTCTCTCCTCCGTGGGCCCCCAGGGGGAGGGCGGAGCAGAGCCCAGTCCGTCAGCTGTTCCTGGGGGCCTGGCTCTGCCCTCTGACCTTTGTAAGTCGCCAGCACCCTCACCCCCAAACTACAGCTCAGGGCCCACACTCCTGCCGCTCCTGCCGGTGTGTTCCTCTCTCCAGAACGTGGTCCTAAACTCTGAGCCTGCTTCCAGAGAAGCCCCTCCCCATGGGGAGGAGCATGGTGAGTGACAGCATCTCCCTCCTGTGGCTACAAACCCTGCCTGTCCCTCACTATACAGGGAAGGGGGAAAGGACAGGGTAGGGCACAGGGGTGGCATGGTGCGATTCCCACAGGGACCCCCCCAGCTCCTGGGCTGGAGCCGACAGGGGTTCCCCGTTAAGCCTTTGGGGGCTACTTCCCTGTCGTCAGACCTTCGGGGTCACCACTGTCTACCTTGGGGAGCCCCCTGCCCCCAGAGGCCATGGGGTTACCTCGCTCTCCGCCTGCTGAACCTCGGAAGCAGTCAGGGCCACCCTGTCTTCCAGCTCCAACAGCGCCTCGTCTGGGGTCCTGGTGGTCTGGGTGGGGTCCTGAGGGCCCGGGGGGCTCTTTTCCCACCTGTGCACTTGGCCTGCAGACGTGCTCACCTGGGAAAGGGAAGCGCTGCCGGTGACTGCTGGCAGGAGAGACGGCAGGTTCCCCCATCATGGGCCTCCCTTCCATGACCCCTTCCTCTTCACCCCTGGAGCGGGGCAGCCGGGTGGCCAACTCGGCCTGGACACCTGTGCGTCCACCGAAGGACCCCCTCAGGGACCAACAGGGGTCAGCTGCTTGCCCTGGGCTGTGGGCTCAGCCACAGACTGTTGAGCCCGGCCCCACTCCTGCTGAGGCTGTTGGTGGGGGCCATACCTGCGGGGTCGTCCTGGGGGAGTGCTCCGAGGCCGTGCTCCTGCCCGGTTCGGCCCCTTCGCCCTTGCCCTCCTCCTCGGACGAGGCCCCGGGGTCGCTGACGTTGCCGGTCAGCTCCTCCAGCTTCCTCTTTAGGGTCTCCTCCTCTGCGTCGGCGTCCGTGGGCTCGTGGGCACCTGGACACTGAAGGGAGCAGGCGGGTGGGTCTGCATTCGGGGGTCCTCCGTGAGCACCGTGCTCAGAGGTGGCTCTGCTTCGGGGCCCACCCTGAGCTCCCCCGAGGCTCCTGCTGCAGCTGTGGTTGCCCCGGTCCTGGCTGGGACCCTGCCCACGGTGCGCATGCGGACCCCTGTCCCCGCTTCCAGAACCGGCTCTCCTGGGTGAGCCTGTCCCGAGATCCGAATGGCACCAGGGCCATTAAGAGCACCATTTGTTTATTTATAAGTCTATTTCTAATGACAGCCGACATCCGATAAGACACTGGTTTCATGTGTTCCACACACTGATTTACGTTCTCTGCATCTATGCGTTTGTCTCCATTTTTTTCCGTTCGTTTGCTTTGCTGTTTTAGATTCCACGTATCGGTGAAGCCCGGTGGCCCGTGTCTCTCTCTGGCTTATTTCACTCAGCACGGTTCCCTCCAGGCCCGTCCCCGCCACCGTACACGCGAGACTTGGCCCCCTCTCGGGGCGGGTCCTGTTCCGTGGTGTGTGTGGGAACTCGTCTGGCTCCCTCGCCGTGCACTGACGCTGTGGTGAACGAACGGTGCTCATGCTCTTCACCAGTTGTTTCTTTAACTTGCGCTCTTTTTGGCACCTGCACCTCCTTTAACAAAGGGGCTCGGGGGCCTTGTCCCCAGGTGGGCCCCAGACATTACACCCCTGATGTCCGCTCACTCAGCTTGGGACTCTGCGGCAGAGGCCCAGGCCGTGGCCGGACAGGGCCCACCCCCACCAGCAAGACCGAGCACCCAGCACCAAGTCCCCAGGCTGTGGACGGAAGGCTAAGACCCCACCCAGGCTGTGACCCGGCGCAGGTGACCGTCACTCCCATTGTCTCATGCCAAGGGGTCTGGAACGCCCCGCCAAAGCTGGGGGTGCATGTCGGGGAGACAGGACGCTGGGCCGGAAAGCCCCACGACGTGTCCCGAGCACCGGGGCACCTGCTGTCCCCTCAGCACAGGAAGGCGCCAATTAACTGCACCGGCTGAACGAACTAGAGCCATTATCTGTCAAGGGCCCCGGGTCGCCTGTGGGCCAGAGGACACACCAGGTGACGATGTGAAGTGACTGAATGTACAACTTCCTCATCCCTGAGTCACCGGGCTCTTGAGGCACCAGAAGCTATTAGCTCCCAGACGGGAGCAGGAGAAAAATCAATTCCTGTTCGGAGCCCAGCGAACACGGCCTTGATGCCTTCATGCCCCCGAGGGCACGGCCCTTCGGGAAGGTCTCTGTCATGGGGGGGGTCTCCATCCTGGGGAAGGTCTCCATCCTGGGGAGTCCATTCTGCTCCACCTTATGCCTCTCCACCTGACAGCCCAGAGCTTGGCCTATGGGTGCCAGGAGGGGAGCCCCACCCATGCATCCCTCCAACTCTTCCATGATGGGCCCCGGGGTGGGGGTCTGTGCCTGGCATCCGCATGCGGAGGAACCCAGCTCCCGCAAACGTGCCGGAGGCCAGCCTCGCACAGCCGTGGCTCAGGATTCTCCGTCCAGAGCAGAGCCCCCAAGAGTCACCAGTTACAAAGCAGCCCGACCCCACTCTCTCCTCCACAGGGGCCAGGGCCCCGTCTCGGCCCTTTCACGCCGACAGAAGACGTGTGTTTTGGTGGTGACCCTCATCTCGGTCACTTAGGCTTGTGCAATCACATAGCTTTGAAATATGAAAAGCGTAATTTCTCCGAGATGACTCGATGTGAAAGCGAACAGGCCCCCTGCCCCTGTAGAAGCTACCAGAGGAGCCCTCCCCAGCCACGGTACCTGGATCTCAGAGGCGGCCCTGACACTCCGTGGGGAATGGCGGGAGGCCACCGCGAGGGCCTGGGCGCCCTCTTCCTCCGAGGTGTCCTCGTCCGTCAGGCACCGGGCGGGTGGCTGCTCACTCCCGGCCACGCGCACCCCTGTGGAGGGAGAGTCGGTTCGGATCACTGGGGGTGAAAGTCTGACAGTCACTGGGCACGTTTTTAAATGGGAAAAAAAAGATAAAAGAAAACAAAGACACGAGTTTGTTCTTGATGCTGTGGGGCCGAGAACCGCCACCTTCGGGACACATGGGCCTGGCCCCGGCACTCGCGTGGGCCCGGGTGATGTGAAAGCCACACGGACAAAGCAAATGTCCTGTGGTCACGCCACACTGAGTGCACAGGTATGGGGTATGGCCGCCGTGGGTCCTGGAAGTTTCTGTGAGTGGGGGCGATTTTAGGAAGTGATTTTAGTGATTGTCCACACCAGTCACTGCGGGCTGTTTTGGTGCCAGAACAGTGAGGGGCACTTTGGGGGGTGGGAGTCACCTGTGGTGAGGCTGCAAATGCTTATCCCTGGGCCCACAAAGTACCCACCCACACAGCCACAGGGGAAATGGGGGCGGGGCCTGGCGGGGAAGGAGGGGCCTCAGGGGCAATAACCCTGCCAATCACGCCCCAGTGCAGTCTGTTCATACCCTCCTTGCTGTGACGGGCTCACATTTAAGGGAAGGGCAGAAATGTGTCTTAGAGTCAGTGAGAGGGGTGGTCTGTCAGCAGAGCTGGGCTTGGAGCTCGGCAAGGCAGGACCTCAAACGCCGTTTCTCGGCTGCTGCCGTCCCGCTCCGCCTCCCCCCACCCGGCCCCCGGCCCCCGCCCTCACAGCGTGGGCGATTAGGGAGGAAATGAGCGTGCCCAGGTCTGGAGGCTCAGTCAATGCAGACTCGTTTACTCGCTGCCCGGGACCCTTGCGGCGGGTGGCTCATGAGATTAGGACTATAACAGAACCAGAGGGGAGGATGGGAACAGGCGGCGTCTTCACCACACCTCGCAAGACCATTAGTGGGAAGGCTGTGCGGCTTCCGTGACCTTATTTGCTCCTGCATCCGTGGGGAGCCGGCGCCTCCGCCCCCCGCCCACACACTCCCTCGGGCCAAGAACAGGAAGCACCTTGGGATTTCATTACAAAGCAATGGGCAACGAAATTCAACGAGCGGATCTGGGTTCTCAGCACCTACAGGCTTCCTGATTCACAGCAGGGAGCCCAGGGGGCACCAGGGCAGGTGGCGCCCCACAGGACCGGTGCCATTGGTCCCCAGGGGCACCCTTGGTCCTCCGCTTTGGAGCTGCCCTGTCCCCACTGGTCTCAGTCATTTCAGGAAAACCTGCATATCCCTGTCCTGCAACAACGTCCTCTCTGAGGGGCGGCCAGGCACTGCGTGGCCAGTTCCGGCGTCCACACTGGTTTGCCCGAGTGTTGCCGGCGGTGCGCCCAGCGCAGGAAGAGCGGGAAGGAGTCCATGGCGTTTGCCAGGACGGCCCTTGCCCATCGGTCCTATGGAAGGGGGCGCTACTTGAAATCAGCCAGTGTGTCTGCCCAAACTGCAGTGGTGGCCCGGGCTTCCAGAACCACCCACCGTGCAGAGCCCAGCAGAGGTACCTACCAGGAGAGGCAGCGGCCCCCAGGGCTGCCGCATGGGCCGCTCCTGGCAGGCAGAGTTCAGCGGGGCCGTCCGGTCCGGCAGGTGAGAGGCTGTCTGTCTGCACCTCTTCACGGGAGTGGTGTCCAGAGCCCCTGGCGCCGGCCTCCTCCGGGCAGGGCTCACCTGTGAGGGCCTGAGCCCACGGGACCTGCTGACCCAGGAGGTTTACACTGGGGGCAGCTCGCTGGCACGTGGGTCTTTCTGGTCCACCCCCTGCGGTTTCCAGGCGTCGTCTGGCTGACTGAGCGCTAGACTCCTGCCCGCTTTGTGCCTTTAGAAAGCAGGTCCCTTTGGTTTCAGGAACCCTGCTCTTATTGCCTATTCTGACCCTGTCTCCTGGGGAGAAGGCTGTGTCCCCACACACAGGGCCACCTGTCACACGAAGAGGAAGAAACATTCCAGCAGCCCGGCGGCTTAGCTTCCCCAGAGACCAAAGGTCCAAGGAAAGAGGGTGGGGAGTTATTTTGGGGGGCAGGTGCATCGTTCTGGGTACCTCTTCATAATCCCCGAAGGCCCAAGCGGCAGGTGGCTGCAGCCCCCCACCCCTCCTCTGTCCTTCCGGGACCGGCAGAGGGCTCCCTCCCTTGTGCCATCGTCCCCAAGGGAAGGAGGCCCTCGGGAGCCACGGCTCTGCCTTCTTTCTGGGATAAGCACCCACCCCAAGTACTCTGGGCCCCCAACTCCCTGCCCTGCACCCCACATGCCCACGCCGCCAGCTCAGACCCCCTGGAGACTCTGGTCCTCGCCCCCCACCTGTGGCTCACGTCATCCCGGCTTGGAGTGGGGAGCAGAACCAAGTGCCCACTGACCTGCAGGCTGTCCAGGGCCTCTGGGGCTGAGGACAGGCTCGGGGGGCGACTGCCAGGCCCAGCGGAGTCGTCTGAGTCGGCCTCGAAGTCCCAGCTGTGAATGGGGAGCAGGCGCTTTCCCCTGGGGGGCACGGGCTGGGCAAGAGGGGGGCAGGGTCAGGAGAGGGGGAGGACCAGACGCCCCTCGCCCCTGGGCTGCAGGGTGGGTGCTGGAAACAAACAGAGGGGCCGCTCAGAGCCCACGCCCTCCCCCTCAGGTCTGTGTGCCCAGCACCACGCTTGGATAAGCAGAAGCCAATGACCGACATGCGACTGCTCAGAGGGGCCGTGCCAAGGACAAGGCCCCCGGAGGCTGCAGCCATGGGGCGCAGGCTGCGAGGTGCTGCCCCCCTGGGGAGGCAGAGGTGGGAGGGAGAGCTCCCCGTGCTGCAGATGCAGGGGCAGAGGCCGGTTCTGACCCCCACCCCTGGGCGGTGTTCACCCTGCAGACGTGCGGGGAAGAGAGTGAACGCCCGTCAGCGCTCTGGAGGCTCAGGGACGGGCACGGGCCCGCTTTCATCACACACAGAGGCCCGTGTCCCCCGAGGAGCAGCGGGCAGACCCGTCACTCTCCACGTGGCTCCGTGTACACGCACCCTCCTGCCCTCCATCCCGCTCCCCGTCTGAACTTGGTGGTCACTTTGCTCATCTTTATCCCCCAAATCAATGTAAAAGTGAGTGAAAACAGAAACAAACACCAATGAAAACAAGGCTCATGCTCGGTCCTAAGAAAAGCAAAAAGCTCCCAGAGGAGAGCCCCCAGGGTTTGCCTCCCACTGCCCCAGCGGGAGGGACGCGTGTGCCCTTGGCGGGGGGCCCGGGGGTGGGCGCAGGTTGGGAGGTCCAGGCGGCCCTCCTGGCAGGCCCACCACTGGCTCTGGGGTTCACCCTCCTGCTTGGCGACCTCAGTGATTGTCCCACAGGGCGGAAGGAGGCAGAGTCTTAGGGCTCATGCCAGAGCGGACTTCTGGCGAGCACCGAGATTCCCAGGAAATTGGAGCCCGAGGCTGCAGCTGGGGGGGTCTTGGGGGTGGCTGGGGGGACTCACTGTGCTGCGAAGGGGCTGGGCCCGGGCTGCCCGGTCCAGCTGTCCGTCCGAGTCCGTCTGCTCACTGCCCGCACTTCTGTCTCCAGGGCCTGGCTCAGGCCCACCTGCAACACACACCCATTCAGGGAGCGAGAGGCTGGAGGCGAACCCTCTGTCTGTCCGTCCGCCTCTTTCCCCCAATCTGTCCTTTCATCCTCTCGCCCTCCCACCCGCCAACTCGTCCATCCACTCGTCCACCCACCCACCCATCCGTCACAGAACACCCAGACGAGGCCGCACAAGGACCCCCCAAGCATCATTAAAACTGGTCCTGTCACAGCAGAAAACGAGTGCTCTGCTTCGACATGGTCACCGGTCACATGGTGCCGGTGATCACCGCACATTTACTGACCCCTTTAGACCGTTTGAAGGCCCTGGAGTCCCGGTGGGTGCAGGAGGCCTGGAGCCGAGTCCCCTTTTCCCGAAGAATCCGCTTCTCCCACGGGCTCACTCCCCTGCTCACCAGCCCAGCCCCGCGCACAGTCAGGCGGGGGTGAGTCTCAGCCCAGGGCTCTCTCCCCTCCTTTCTCGGCCCCCAAGGCCGCCAGACATGAGTACCAGCCAGCCGGTGTCCCCCCCTCAGGGGACAGACCTGGTAATTATCTCTCTGGACAGTGACGACCTTGAGGAAACTCATGTCCAACAGCCAGACAGAGGCTTCTAGAAGTGGACTCCGTCTGGGCCGAGGGAGTGTGGACACGGCTGCCCAGAGGCCCGGGGTGTGTGTGACCTCAGGGTGGGGTCCCTGCCCCTGGGACTGAGTAGGAGCAGGACCTCCACGTCCCTTTGTTATCAACTCCTTACGTCTCCCTCTGCACCTGGGACAAGGGTGGGAGTGACAGTAGCCCCTCTGTGAGGATCGAGTCGTGATTAAAGAAAACCGAAGGACTTCCCATGTTCTGGACATTGCAGAGGTTTCTTTCTTCCTTTCTTTAAAACATTTTTTATTTATGTTTAAATAGAGGGGAAGGGAGGGAGAAAGAGAGGGAAACCGATATATAGTTGCCTCTTGAGCACCCCCTACTGGGGACCTGGCCCACAACCTAGGCTTGTGCCCTGACTGGGAATTGAACCAGTGACCTCTCTGTTCACAGTCTGGCGCTCAGTCCGCTGAGTCACACCAGCCAGGGCAGGGCTTTCTGGGCAGGGAGGTGGACATGAAGCACAAGCGTCCGAGCAAGAAGGACATACCTCGGATGCTGGGCAGGCTCTGCACGCGGTCAGACAAACCTGCGGCCGAGGAAAAGGCGCTGAGGGAAGACCCCTGTGGGGGCTGGCGAGCTCCTGGACCGAAGAGGGGCACCTCCCTGCATCCCAGACGCTCTTCCCGCAGCGCCTGCCTGTCCCGTGGTGGGGCCGTTGGGAAAACGCACCCCACAGTCCGAAGGGCACCCCAAGACCCTGGGGACTCCCCCCACCCCCACAGCTGTGCACAGTCCTCAGGTCTGTTTCAGGTCCTGGTTGGGCCAGGTTCCAAAACACTAACTTGACTCGTTTCTTTGTTTGAATATTTTTAGCAGCACACTCTCCCCAGCTCTAGCGCCCCTTCCTTGCACACTTCAGTGCACACATGCACTGTGCTCGTGGGCACTCTCAGGGACAGCACAGCCCCTGGGACGCCACCCCTTGGACCGCAGCCTGCGTCCCTGGAGACCCCTGAGTCCTGGCCGCTCTGGGAAGCAGGTGCCGGCTGCCCCACAGCGCCACCTGCTGGCTCTCGGTGGTGACAGCTTTGAAATGGTCAGGCTCCCTGCAGCGTTGGCTAACTGAGCTCCGGACCAGATCCCTGTGACCTTGTACATGACACAGGTTCCTGGACCAGCCTAGGTTCCTAGCGGGTCCTCAGGGCTCTGGTATGGCATGCGGTTTCCTGCCATGAGCAGCCGACACTGAGGTTGAGATTCTCCGGTGCTTCCCCCGGCCCCGCAGAGGGGGCCGGACCAAGCTCCTTCTGCTGCGGGAAGACCCCTCAGCTGGCTCCTGGACGGCTGAGCGGGCAGGGAGGTGACATTCCCCTGGGCTCCAGCCCGAGTCTACAATGTCAGCCTCGAAGAAGCAGCCTGAGGACGAAAGGGGAAGGAGCCCCCCAAGAACAGAGTGTGGCCCCCTCCCCGTGTCCCGGCGGCACACCCAGTCCTCTGTGGTCCCAGCCTGGCTATCAGGAGGGCCACTGTCACTCTTACAGACATCCTGGCTTGGGGGATTTCTCTGTGTCACCCCAAACCCACCGCCCAGGGAGGAAGGACCTGGGGACCTGGGACACGAGTCTGGGCCCGGCTGTTCCATCAGCTGCCGAGTTGGAGAGCCTGGTCTGTGAGCTCCCGACTCGCTATGAAGCTCTGACACATGCGACCTTGGAGACGGGGGGAAGTCAGGACGCAGGGCTTCCCGGGCTCTGGGCCAGGCCCGGGGTGCAAATGTCTGCACCCCACACAGCAAGCTGCCAACCCCTTAACAAACCCCAGGAACGGGACTGATGGACAGGCAGTCACACACACACCAGAGAAAAGGGATACTGGTCCCGAAACAGGAAAACAGCCTGGGAACAAAGGCTCCCTCCCCCACCCCGCCGACCCCCACCGTCCCCTCTGCCCACTCCTCACCTGCGCCCGGCAGCCGTGCGCACAGGGACCGGACCACTTTGGCGCTCCCGAACCGCTTGAAGCGGGCACGCACGTGCCCGTAGTACCACTCCAGGGAGCCCCTCTCCACGACTCTGCGGGGGGACGCAGCTCAGGTCTGAGGCTCCTGGCCACACACGGCTCTGCCCACAGCCACACACGGGCCCACCCCCTCTTCAGCCTGTCCCACCGAAGGGACGGGCCAGGCCCCCAACCCAGTGGGGCCCCTGGAGCTTCAGTCCCAGCTCACCTGGCCAGGTGGCAAGGGTGGCAGAGCCAGCCCTCCTCCGGGTGGGCGTGGCTGCAGCCCGGGCAGGTGAAGAGGCCGCAGTCCAGGCATTGCCTTTTGGGGGCGGCGAGGAGCCGGTAGGGCTGCAGGCAGTGGGCACAGTGGGTCTCGTTCAGGCGGGCCACATCGGACACCAGCTCCCTCTGGGGGCGCCCTTTCTTGACCTTGCCCTTCAGCTCCCTTGGGGAAACACAGAGACAGGGCACAACTGGATGTCTCGTTTCTGCAACAGGCTTTACATGTGTGAGCACCCAAAACACTCCCTCATGGCCTAACACGTGGGTTCAGATGTGCAGTTCGGGGGCCTTGGAAGTGAAGTGCTTTATTTTTATTCGAAATGACGTGGCATGCAAATGCTTCCGTGACTGTTTGCAGTGGTCCGATTTTCCCGAATGTACGTGCGTGACTTTCGCTCATTGGCGATGGGGGCGTGGGCCACAGGGATTCCGAGTCACAGGCTGAGGCACTGCCCACCGCTGCCCACAGGACCTGGAGTAGCTCAGCAGGACAGAGGACGGCCAGCAGTCCTGGGTCCCGTGCCCCTCGGGCCCTGCACCGGAGCCCTGAGCTGTTCAGCACAGATCTGCAAGCTGGGCCACGAGCCCAGGGGTCCCGCCCAGCTGGGCGAGCGTGGGCCCGAGGTCGCTGGCATTGAGTATCTAATCTGCCTCCGATGGGGTGGGACTGGAGGCTCGGGGGAGCCCAGCAGGGATCGGGCCGGGTGGTCCGGTCAGGCTATGTGGTTCCTGGGACCATCTGCTCCTAGTGGGCATGTCCAAGAGACAGAGAAGAGAGAACGGCCAAGTGGTGGACAAGGGGGCAGAGCGCACGTCACAGAGAGCGCAGCGGAAAGGGTCACTGAGTCTCCAGGAGAGGCCGACGCTGTTTTCTGTGGGGCCTTGGCCAGTCACGTCCCCTCTGCCACCCTGACCTGAGTCCGTAGCCCCTAGCTGAGGACAGCACCCAGTAGGTGGATGGCAGGGTGGCACCCTGCTGAGAAAACCGACAGGTCACTCTACCTTCCCGACAGTGGTCACAGAGTTCCGAGGCCAAAGCCAGGAGGCACTTCCTCTACGAGCGGTTTGGGGCCTCCCGGTGGGGGAGCAAGTCGGGCGGACTCCCTGCCTTTGCCCCCACCCGGCATGGCTACGACAGCTCGGCTCGGAGGGTCCAGGCAGGAGTCCCCGGCACCCAGCGTCGCAGGAGGACCGCAGCCCTGAATCACTTGGTGTTCCCTTCCCGGGAAGCCTGCCAGCACAAACTCCTGCAAGAACTGTCCCCAGAGAGCGAACACATTGCCTTTGTTCTGCCTCAGAGAACGCCCGCCAGGCATAACGTTGTGGTCGAGATGAGATCAAACGTATCCACTTTCAGTGACAACATTGGACGGACTCCAGGTGCCCTTGTCATCTGAGAACCAGGAATGGACGCTCTCTGGGCTGGGACAGAGAGGGGCGGACCTTCGGGTCGCTGTAGGCAACGCCGTCCCAGGCAGGCGGCGCCAGCTGGGCCACAGGAGGCAGCAGGTTCGGGCCGGCGGGAGCCCAGGGAGGCCGCCCACGCCTTCTCTGCCAGGCCACCAACCCAGGGGCTGAAAGCATCCCGGCTCCTATCTCCCGGTTCTGGAGGTCAGCTGTCCGGCCTGGGTGTCACTGCGCTGGGACTGAGGTGTTGGCCATCCTTCCTGGGGCCTCTGGGGCCGACCTGTCCCCTTTCTTTCCCAGCTTCCGGGGGCACCTGGGTGCACATGCTGGCCCCGGAGGTGGAGTCCGTCTCAGGTGACTCTCTGGTTGTTATGGGCTCCAGCCTCTTGCTTCCGCCCACTTATCGCCCTGGGTTCCCCAGGGCCACCTTCCCACATCCAGGGCTGCTGCTCATCGGCCTTAATGGTGACTGCCACCTTCGTTCCCCTTTGCCATGAAACCTGAGACTTTCACAGGTTTGGGGGATCTGGACGTGGGTGTTTGGGGGGCTTGTTATTCTGCCAGGATCCTGAGAGGAACGGAAGTGAGCTGCCCCCAAGCCGAGAGATTCCCAAATTAAAACCCGCGCCCCAGCCCCTCCTGAGAACAGCTTGAAGGTGCGTCTTCCAAAGGCCGGGAAACATGTGTCGGGTCGGACCCGGGGAGGGGCGGCAGCAGCCCGGAGAACACCGAGTCACAGAGGGGACAGACACGTACGTCGCCGAAAGTCAGGCGACCACACCAACTCCGTTGGAGGTCGTTGCCGAAGGAGACACAGGGGACGTGAGGACGTTAGAGGGAGGTTGTGGGGACCCGGAGTCTGGTCAGCTGAACAAACACCAGGACTTACAGGGAAATGTGCCCACGCTCTCTGAGGCCCTCTGAAGTGAATGACCACACAAGGACAGAAGTGGCAAAGAGGAAAGAGTGGGGGGGAAGAGCGAGGCGCCCAGAGAGGCTGCCACCATCTGCTGGGCGACCTTGGACCTGAGCAACCCCGGGCCATGGGTGCAGCTGACGCCCTGTTCCAGCCACTTCTGGTCCAGGCAGCGTGGCGGGTGCCACGGGCCCACCTGGGGGTGACTTCCAACTCCCCATCGTGGTCATTGTGTTCTTATTCTGATCTGTATCTTACTTTAATTTTAAAAATACTTTTAAATGTATTATTCTGATCTTTTAAGGCAAGTTACACGTGTCCCCTGGCTCTCGCTGGGCAACGTTTCGCAGAGTTTCTCGGGAACCTGGGCCTGTCTGCAGACGTTTCGATGAACCACCCACCTGTTTGCCTCGCTGGGCGGGTCCCAGGCCTGATGTTTGACTTGGGGGCCGGCCCGGGAATGGGGCTGCTGTCCTCGCCCAGGGGCGCGGGTCCCTCTCTGGACTGAGGAAAGCCTGGCAATGCCACCCTGGACACAGCTTTGAGGCTGCTCCATAAGGCGGGGAGAGCAACCTTAAGGCAGGGGACTTCCGATGGGCAGAGAGGGGGCCCGGCCCACAGGAATGCCAGAGGCAGCGGCTTCTGCCCCACGCTGGGTGCAGGTCCCTCAGCCAGGCTGGTGGGCCACCTCGGAGTTCTGGGCTCTTCCCGAGGGAGGGGTCACAGAGCTGGGTCTCTGGGTCAGAGGGTCCCTTCAGGAAGGCACCCCTGTGTTTATGTGACACTAAGAACCGAGGACATGTGACTGTCACGTCTGTACTTAGAGCTGTTTCGACACACGAGTAGCGGGAATGGATGTGGGACACGTACTTGATGAATAACGCAGAGCAGCCCTCGGCCAGGCCGCCCGCCCCTGCGTTCCCACGGCCGAGACTGCCTGCCGGGTGGTCTTCCTTGCGGGAAACCGGCCTCGTCCTTCCCAGTGGGTCCCTGGGGACAGCACAGGAGCCACACTGGAGGCTGTTGGAGGACGGAATGAGGTGTTGGGGGCGCGGTGGCTGCTTTAGTTTATTTTCTTATTGATTAGTTTTTCTTTCCCCCATCCCCCACCGCCCTCCCCTTGGGCTCTCCCCATCAGTTGCTCTCAGTATCTGCTTTGTTTGGTTTATTCATTTGCTTTGCTTTTATTTAAAATTCTTCATATAAGTGAAATTATAAGGCGTTTGTCTCCTTCTTATTCCACTTGGCACAATACCCTCTAGGTCCATCCGAGCTATTGTAAATGGTGACAGGTCATTCTTTTCTCGGTGCGGGCTGTTCCCTTGTCCACACACAGCACAGAGTCCTTGCCCTGGTCTGCTGGCAGGCGCCCGGCGGCTCCCACCGTGGCTGCAGTGCACGCACGATCACGTAGGGGGCGCCCACACCTCTCTGAGCTGCTGCTTTTGTTCTCCAGTACATCCTTGGAAGTGTTACCACCTGGCTGTGTAGCAACTGTAGTTTTGAGGAAACTCCACACGGCTTCCCACCGTGGCTGCACCAGTCTGCGTCCCCACCCACAGTGCCCGAGGGTCCCCTTTTTCCACGTCCTTGCCAGCTCTTGCTGTTTGCTGGTTTATTGATGGCCAGTCTGACAGGTGGGAGGCGGTATCTCACTGTGGCTTTAATTTGCATCTCTCTGATGATTGGTGAGGTTGAGCATCCTTTCCTAAGTCTATTGGCCACCTGTGTGTCCTCTTTGGAGAGCTTTGTATTCAGGTCCTCTGCCCATTTTTTAATTGAATTATTTGTGTGCTTTTTAATTTGGCGATAAGTTGTATGAGTTATTGATATATTCTAGATATTAACCCCTTAGCAGATATGTCATTGGTGAATATCTTCTCCCACTTGTTGCGTAGATTTTGTAATGTTGATGTTTTCCTTTGCTGTGCAAACCTTTTTGAGTTTGATGTCGTCCCTTTTGTTTATACTTTTTTTCTTTCCCTTGTTCCGGGAGGCACATCCAAAAAGATATGACTTGGACCGATACTGAAGAACTTATTTCCTGTGTTTTCTTCTAGGCGTTTTATGGTCTCAGGTCTTACATTTAAGTCTTTAGCCATTCTGAGTTTATTCTTGTATGTGGTACAATAAGGTCTGGTCCCCCCCCCCCCCCCCGTGTATCTGTTCAGTTCTTCCAACACCACTTACAGAAGAGACTGTCATTTCTCCACTGTATATCCCTGTCCCCTATGCCATAGGGTGATTGATGGTGCATGTGAGGATTTATTTCTGGGATCTCTGTTCTATCCCATTGACCCCAGATCTGTTTTAATGCCAGTACCATGCTGTTTTGATTATTGTAGCTTTGTAGTATAGTTTGAAATTGGGACACATGCTTCCTTCCACTATGCTTTTTCTCAAGATTTCTTTTAGCTGCCCTGGTGCGCAGATTAGCTGATATTCTCCACCACAACTAAACACCAAAGGGAGAGAACATGAGCAGAAAGAAGCAGTTGCCTTCCCAAAGGGCCTTTCAGCTCTTGGTAGCTGGCTTCTTGCACCTGCGGCTGGAACTACCCCCCAGGAGCCTCCCCTGGTCCCCCTCCCACTGGCCTCCCCCTCATCACCCATCCCCGGGGGCCCCGAGGACAGCGAAGGCCAAGGCTGCCCGGGCGTCAGTCAGAGCGGAGCAGCCCCTGTGAGTAGCTGTCCATCCTCCCTCCCCACACCCAGGGGTGGCCGCACCCACGGGCTCACAGCCCAAGCCCCGCAGCTGGCAGCAGGTTGGCCCCAGGATGCCCATTCTCTCGCACAAACGTCGGCCCTGCTCTAAGGCTCCAAGTTCACTCACAGAGACACGCACGTCCTCTTGGCAACACCCCACCCGCCTCCATCTGAAAGTGCCTGGCGCTGCACCTTTGACTTTCCCGTCCCCGGCACTCGGCACCGCGCCCCGCTGGGGAGCCAGAAATAACATCACACCCTGCACAGTAAACACCCACTCCCAGGTCCCTGATTGAACACACCAACCGTAGGGAGAGACTGGGCTGCCTGCACTGAGCCAAAGGCCGGACGCCCCGCCTTCCTGCTCCTCCAAGTCCTGGAGCCGCCTGTCGGGGGCCCTGCCAGGCCGCCGGGGAGCCAGACCCCAGGGGAAATCCCTTCCCGTCAGTTCGGAGGAAAGCCACACAGAGCCACGGTAGTTGGCGCCCCCGTTCCCCAGAACGAACACGTGCTCTCTCTGGAATGCGGTTAGGAGGCTCCCCGGGGGAGAGGGGCCAAGGCCTCCCCTGCAGTCTCACCAGTGAGATGCCTCTGGGTTCCCTGGGGGGCTCCGAATGTTCTCAGCACAGCCTGGGGGGGGGGGGGGGGAGCCTGAGGCCTGGCCCAAGGGTCGGAGGGTGTCTTGGGGGTCATCTGGTCAGGCAGGTGCGGTGAAGCTGGTCTCCTGTCCTTGTGAAGGTCAGGGACGTGGGCGGGCTCATTTGTCTTGGAGGGGAGGTGGGAGGCGGGCCCATCTGACTGTGTGCAGGTGGGGGGGTGGGCCTTCCCCAGATCTGCCCCAACACCCTCCCCAGTGGGGGAACATGACTACTGGGGAGGAATCCCCCTAATGTGCATTTCTGTTAGCCTTGTAAATATGAACAGAAATCCCCTCTCTTTTTGTTCTCGGATTGTTTTCGAACGGGTGGGCGGGCATGGTGAGTTGCCGGCCCAGCGGGCTGCCTTTCAGCAGACGGGCTCCTGGTGGGGACCCTGCGCCCACACCTGTGTCCGCAGGTGCAGGACCGGGACCCACTCTCCAAGGCCGAGTGTGCTTGTTTCTTGGTGTCACAGCTTCCGCTGTCCCAACCGTGTCCTGTCCACGACCTGGGTGGTTTGTCCCGCTGGGCTGCCCCTTTGGCATCCCTCTCAGGGCACAGACTGCAAATGCTCATGTGCAGAATTCCTGACCTGCCCTGTCTGTCCCGCCCGCCCACGGAGCGGCCCCTGAGGCCCAGGGTGGCCACCCATCACAGACCACGCGTCATCGGGAACTGGGAGCAGACGGAAGCTGTCCTGGAGGGACCCGGACGGGCTACAGGGAAGGGGACACTGGGAGCAGGAAGTGGGCGATTGCCTGTGTTGAAATTGGTTAAATGCTCTAAAACACGGAGAAGAGACACAGAGAAGTGCTGTCTGTACTTTAAAAGCCATCTTCGGTTTCGTGACGGACTGTGGCACTCTGGCCACTCACTCTGCAGAGCCGGCTTCCGTGTCAGGGACCAGAGTCCTGCACGCATCTGAGCCGTGCCGGGCACGCCTGCCCTCCTGCCTGGGGACTGCGTGACCTGTGCTGCCAGCTGCTGGGGTCACAGGGGTGGGGGGCCTGGAGGAAAGGTCGCGGGGGGCTCGAGGGGAAAGGCTTTTCCCGGTCAGGGGCAGCTTTGCCTTCTGTGGCTTATTAAACCAACGGCACCGTAAACAAGAGAAGAAGCATCAAAAACGACAAAAAACAGAAAAAAGGCCTCCCTAACCCCCACCCTTTACACGACTCCTTCCTTCCCATGCGTGTCTCCAGCCAGGGCCCTGTCCACAGTCAGAGAACCAGGCCCGAGATGGCTCTCTGGGCCTCCGCGGCCCTGACTGACTGGTCCTTTGAGGCAGAGGCTCCCCATCGCGACCTCTCTGCTGCTCGCGTTCCTGGGGGGCCATTCACCGCTCTGTGGCCCCCCACAACCTCTCCCCATCTGATAGGCATGGGGGGTATTTACCAAGCCCACCCCCATCACATGGTGGCCGAGAAGATGCAGAGGATGGAGAAATCCTCTGCCCCCCACCCCCACCCCCCACGGGCCGGCCCATTCTTAGCAGACAGGCTCAGCCACTTTGGAATGAGGATGTGGCCCTGACCAGGACCAGCAGGCCTGGGGGTGTGGCCTGAGTCCCAGGGCAGGGGGTAGGAATGAGAGGGGGTGAAGGGTGTTATGCCGAGGACCGCTTTGGAGATGGGGAAGGGCCGGGCGGGGCCAGGGAGGGAGGCGCTCTGGGAGGTGGGAAAGGCAGGGGCACAGGCTCCTCCCCAGTGGCCCTAGAAGGAACATAGCCCTGCCCACACCTTGCCTTCAGCTCCACGAGGAGGAGCCACGAGGCCCCTCTGTGTGTTCAACTCACTGAAGGTGCAGCGACTGCAGCCGCCCTAGGAAAGGAGCACAGGTCTCACCTGTGTGGTGGGGGGAGCTCCGCAGCCGTGCCCCTCGGCTTTGGCCGGTGCGTGGGGGCCAGCTGGTCCATGAAGGGCCTGACAGGCAGCCCAGCCCACCCAGCGTGGCTCACCATTTCCTGCTGTCCCCCAGCCTGGTCTAACTGTGCCTTCCCAAGTGAGCGGACAGCTTCATCTCTCAGCCGTTCAGGTCATAACCTTGGAGTCACCTTTGACTCCTCCCGGTTTCTCCACCCCCATCCAAGCTGTGGACGAGCTCATTGGCTGTGCCTACCTCTGACCGCATCAGGAACCTATACCCTGCAGGGCAGAGGCCGGGTGCTGCGGCCTGCTGCTGGGGGACCGTGGGGACTCGGAGACAGGCCCAGGTCCTGTAAGGGCTGTGGGACCGCCCCGTGCTGCCCCGGACTGCCCCTTCCCCCCTCCACCCCCCCCCCGCCTGGACCCCCCCACCAGGCAGCTCCTGGCCTCTGCTCTGGTCTCTGCTCAGATGCCCCCTCTCCACAGGCCTATGACCCACTGCGGCCCCCAGGAAGGGTAGCCAGGAGCCCAGCGGGAGTGAGCGCTGTTGGTGGGGGAGGGGCGCACAGCGGAAGGGAGTGGGCACTGGTGGGGGTGGCCGCTCTGTTGGTGGGGAGGGGACGGGGTGCCACCCACACAACCAGGAAGGAAGATGAAGAAGCCTCTTCCCAAAACCCCTCGGTTGCCACATTCGGGTGCTCCCGAGTGGATCAGGTCTTCACCATTAGTCACCTCCAGCTCGTCTAGTCTCAGTGCTGTGGCCCCAACCTCCCCCAGCCTGGGGACGATGTCACCCTGGGAGGTAGATCCAGTTGAAATAGACCCCCTCAGGGAACACCTGAGAGTCAGGTCTCCTGGTTTCCTTTGTGAGGAGGCTGAGGCCCGCAGGGGGGCATTGCCCACCCCTGGCTTCCCCCGCCTGCTGGTCCACCCGCCGGCCCACCCGCCCGCCTGCCCCCGAGGCCCAAGCACTCACTCCAGCCTTTCCTCTTCTCTCCGTCTGAGCTCCAAGTCCCGCTGGATGACTTCCCAGACGTGCTGGGCCTCCTCATCCGTGAGCTTGGAAAGGTCCAGCTTCTTCCCCATCTCTGCTCCTCGGCAGGGCCCCACCTGGGAGATCGCAGACCACAGCGTCAGCTGGGAAGCCCGGACGCCGCTAATGCCTCGAGCACCGGGCCGTGCCCACAGCGCCAGGTCCCGGGCAGTCTGTCTGCACCTGGGTTAGACGGTCCCCAAACAGGTAAACGGACGAACCCACCTGTGGGATTCCCACACCCTGGATTCACCGGGATCTGCTTCCCGTCCCCACAGGCCCCACACCCTGAGGCACCGGGTCCCTGTTCTCTTTCCTTTGTGGTGGTGTGTCTGTGACGGCAAGGTCAGGGCGTGAGCCCCCAGCTGTGGTCCTGGAGAGATGCTCCGTCCAAGGCGGAGGGAAGGGCCCTGCTCCGGGCCAGCATTCTGTGTGGGTGACGAAGCCTGCGTGCCACCCTGCGACTGCAGGAGATCCTCACTGGGGCCTGAAGTCTGTCTTCCCACGAATGTCCGGGGAGGGGTCCCACTGCCTGCTGTCACAGGGGAGCCTTCGAGTCCTAGGCAGGACGCACCCAGGCTCCTGCGTGGGGAGCGCCTCGCGCACTGGGACGGCTGACCCTGCCTGTGGTGGGCTCACCAACTCTGCACCAGGAATGCGTGTCCATTTTGTGCCTCAGAGGTTAATTAGGAAAAGTGACATTTTCCAAGTGGCACTCACATGCCATCTGAGATGGAAGTCCCCACAGAGGTCCCGTGGCTCATGCCGTACATCTGGTGGGAAAGCCCTCGGATGCCGCGGGACCGTGAGTTCTGCACCTGGAGGAGGGGACCCCGAGAGCCTGGGCCACCCTGCCCCCGTCCTCTTTCGAGCTGAACTTGGATTCTGGACAAGGAACCGTGAAAACAAAATGGGTTTTTGATGCTTCCTGGAACACACAGTTTCCGGGTTTAAAAAAATCGAAACAAAAGTTATTTGATGGATGACTGGGATTTATTCAGTTTTGTTTTTTGTTTTTGTTCTTTACTATTTTTGAAAAAAAACTTGTACCCTAAGAAGGGCAGTCATTGAAATTCTGTTTCCAGAGCAGACACAAGGGCCATGACTGTCAGCTGAGCGTGACCTCCCCTCTCGTGGGGACGAGGCCCATGCTGGCTCCTGGCAGCCGGAGCGAGGCCCGCAGGAACCAGGCTGAGACGTGACGGGTGGGGGGAGACCGGAGGGGAGACACACGGCCCCCCGACACCCCGCCCCGCCTCCACAGGAACCTCGGTGTGGTCAGGGACCAGCACCAGCTTGCACACACCTGCGACGGCCCTGGGTTTATGGAGAGGGACACACGCCCCTGTGCTCAGTTTAGTGAAACCGGTGACGAGGGAACATATGTTTTGAAACACACAGTCCACCCTGCCCCACCAAGACCAGCTGCGTCCACTTCCTGGGTCAGATGTCACCCGAAGGGTTGTGTTCCGGTGCTTACTGCTGGTTCCGGCCCAACCCCGGCTGAGCGGCAGGAACCAGGAGAGATGGGAGGGCAGTGACCCCATCCAGAGCCGTCTGTGCCAGGCAGCCGGAGGGACGCTCTCTGGGGCCGTCCCTGGGTCAGTGGTTGGGGGGGCATCGGCTCACAGCACGGCGTCTGCTCCTGTGACCAAACCCTCCCACTTAGTGGACAAACAAGATGCTTACACCTGTTCAAGCACCGTGTTTAGAAAAAGTCTTAAACTGAATGAGAATATGTTTGACTTCAGCATTTAAAGTGCACACACCAAAGTGAGGGGCATTTTGGGGACATGTTGCTCATATCCCATCTGGCTTGTTTCAGGCTGGGACACGGGAGCAGCTGGAGGGCCGGCCCCTCTGCCAGGCACAGCCAGGTCACGGGACCCACGTGCCCTGGGGGAGGGGACTGCCTTTCAGCCCATCCTCTCTGGCCCACTGCCCCCGAGTCCTTGCTCAGTGAGGCCCCATCCCCACCGGCCCCCTCCCACAGTGGTCAGGGGCAGGCGGCCCAGGGAGGGCCAGGGCTGCGTGGGCACCCGGCCTGGCCTGCGGCACCCTCCCTGGACGCCTGTGTCGGGAGGCAGACTCCAGGCAGGGGCCCTATTTGTCCCCCGCCCATTCGGGGCAGATAACTGCTGGTCACAAGGTTCCTGAACAAAACGCTTCCACTCTGTGCCCGCCCACTGCTCAGGCAGTAATCACGCTGCCCATCTCTGAGTCGGCCGGCCCTCCCCCGCCCCTCCCCTGCCCCTGAGCAGCCGTGACAGAGACCCGCAGGGCTGACGCGGTGGGGACCCGGGTGGGAAGAGGCTGTGGAAGCGGTTTTGTAAAATAAATACCCTGGGCCCAGGTGGCTGAAATTCAGTGCCGTGTTGTCTTCATTGTTAAAGATTTGAGTTCACATTTTGGCCAAATTAAAGAGAAACCTGGGCCCTGGCTGGTGTGGCTCAGTGGACTGAGTGCCGGTCTGTGCACCAAAGGGTCGCCGGTTCGATTCCCAGTCAGGCACATGGCTGGGTTGCGGGTCAGGTCCCCAGTAGGGGGCGCACAGGAGGCAACCACACATTGATGTTTCTCTCCCTTTCTTCCTCCTTCCCTTCCCCACCTCTAAAAATAAACAAATAAAATCCCTTTTAAAAACAAAGAGCGATCTGGGCAGGGCCTCCTCCTTCGGGACACTTGGCCTGATCACGCCTTGGGCGGGCTGGCCCCTGAGCCTTGGAACACTGGTGACGACGGGTGGTGACGGTCACCCCCTGAGCAAACAGAGCCGGGAAGCCCGGTGAAGTCCGTCACTAAGGCCCAGCCAGCCAGGGCAGGAAGGCCGGCTGACTGAGAACCCAGGCGTGCGGGGCCGCCCTTGCCGACGAGGGTGCGGGCACCCTCCGGGGGACGGGCCCAGTGCCAGCCCGGTGCCCGCTGCGCTGTTTCCCACCCGCTGTCCCCGGCTAGGAGCCCAGCCCCCAGCGTCCACCCCAGACCCCTTCCGCGGCAAGAGGAGCCTATTTCTGTGGGAAGCCCCCTCCCCCGCAGGTGCTCCACTGGGCGGGCTCTCTGCGGCCGGCCCCCCGCCTGTCCATTCTCCCTGCCCCGCCAGGTCCCTCGTTCGAACACGGACCAGGCCCTGCATCTGCCACAAAGGCCTCAGTTCCGGTGTCCGCCTCGAGGACAGGTCCCAGGCTGAGGCTGCAGGACGAGGACGGGGCTGCGAGCCGGGAGCTGACTCCCCTCCACCAGCTGGCCCTGGGACCCGGGACAGGCTCCCTGGGTCTCCCCATCGGCGCCACAGACAGTGATCGGCTCCGTGCCCCACCCTGGCCCTCTCCTGCCCTGCAAGATGCTGGGGGGTCGGAATTAAAGAGGGGCCGTGAGTGGGGAGGAGTGGGGGACTCCAGCAGTGGCTCTGCAAGGACTAGCACAGCCAGAACTAGAAGGCGACTTCGCCACAGGATTCGTCACCCACAGCCACCCAAGGCCACCAGGGTCCCCTTTCCCATTAGACTGCTTTCCACCCCAGTCCTCCTGCCAGGCCCACCCCGCCGGTGGTGCCTTCTCAGCCCTGGAGCTCTTCTGTGCGCCCAGCGCTGCCGCGCCCGGGTCCAAGGCAGCCGCTCAGCTGCTCCGGCTCCGCGAGCTCTGGCCCCCTCCCCGAACCTCACGTCATGGCAGGGCCGGCCTTTGAGGTTAGTGGGCCCCCAGGGCCTCCCCTCCCCCCCATGGTCACTCCAGCCTCTCAGAAAGAAATATGTAAAGATTAAAAGCCCACATAACAAAGGAGAGAAGATAAAGGCCCCAACCCACCTGAAAATGAAGCGGGGCTCTCAGGGTTGGGGTGCGATCCGAGCCTGTGAGGCCCTGGGGGATGGACAGGGGAGTGGAGCTCAGGCACTGGCCACAGACCCTCCCCACATCTCCACGACCCCGGGGGGGGGGGTGAGGAGGGGGCCCCCAGCAAACGAAAGAGGATTCCAAGGAAACAGAGGCTTCTGGGAGCCCAGAGGGAGGCCGGGGGGCCTCCTCCCAGGTCAGGACGTCCTCCAGGCTCGGGCCCCTAGATCTGCAGGGCAGGGAGCCCAGGAGGAAGTATTACCCCAGACAGCCTCAGGCCCTGGGTGGCCAGCCCAGTGAGAACCCCCTGGGGTAGTGGCCTCAGCTCTGTTTTCCAGTGGACCCACGATGGGACTCCTGATTAGAAGCACCGTTTCCCTCAAAATGGGCGGTCTGGGGACCGGGACCAGTCTGGTCAGAGTAGCCCGGTGAAGTCTAAGGTTTGGGGTTCTGGGGGCGGGACAGGATTTCCTCACCAGCCTGGAGAGAGTGGGGGCAGGGGGAATCACATCTCCACGGACCCTCCCTGAGCCTGAGTCTCCTGTCCTGGGCACCACCGGTGCCCCACCCGTTCCCCTGCTCCCAGCACTCACCGACTCTTTCCCGTGGCCTGCAGGCCCTGCTCCGGGGGAGGCTGGGCCTCTGGTCACGGCACACTCGGGCGGCAGGGCGCAGGGCAGGAGCTCCTGACTGCCTCTGCCTGGCGGGCAGCGCGCGGGCGAGGCCCTGGTGCTGCCCGCCCGGGTCACATGTGCTGCGACCCGCCCAGCTCCGGGAGCGCGGGCACCTCCGGGTGCTGGGCCGGGAGGAGGGGCGCGCACCCCGGTGCCCGCGCAGGAGGCGCCGGTGCAGGAGGGAAACCCTCGCCCCTTGCCCCAAGCCAGCTTCGGAGAGAAAGGAGGCGGCGGGGAGGGGTGGGTTGAGCCCGCACCTGGAGAGTCACGCCCGCACCTAGCGAGTGGCGCGACTCTGCCGGGTGTCCATACTGCGGGACGGCCCTGCCCTTCCTTGCTGGATGGGACCGGCTTGCCTGAACGCTCCCCCCGCGCGGTACCTGGTTAAATTTCCACCCCAACTCTGCAGGGACGCTCTTTCCTCCAGCTTTACAGAGGGGGAACTGAGGCTTGGAAAACAGCCTTGGTGAGCCAAAGCCGTGCACTGAGTGGGAACACCGACTGGGCAGCGGGACTTTGAGCCCAGCGTTTCCTCGTGCAGATCCCGTGCCCCTCGCCACCCTCCATCCCGCCTGGCATCTGGACGCCCCTGGACGGGGAAACCCACAGCGCCAGGAGCCCCGCCGCGGGGTGGGCGCCTAGTCCATGCCCACCAAGAAAAGGCCTGCAGGTGGGTCAAGCCCCTGCGGCTCTGGGCGGAGTCAGGATCAGCGCGCGGATGGGGCGGGGCGCGCGGGAGGACGCGGGGCGGGCGCCGGGAACGCCCACCTCGCAGCCGCGCCTCAGCTCGAGCGCGTTCGGCCCAGACCCGCCCTGGCCGGTCCGTCCGCCCGCTGGCCCGTCCTTCCCAATCCCCACCTTCCCTCTTTCCTCCGCATTTGGGCGCGCGAGAGCGCTATCCCCTCCTCCTTTTCGCTTATCATTTAAAAATAAAAGATCGCTACATTCTTTCCCCTGGAGCTTCATTCGAAACTCAGTTCTGTATCTGCACAATGTGGATCGGAATATAAATAAATACATAAATAAGGAATGCTTTTAGGTGACCAGTTATTATTACCTCTTCCACTTTAGAGGAAACAAAACTCTATAGGGTCGTGGTGACAATTTGTAAGGAGCTCTCGAAAGCCACAAAACGTTACTGTGCGAGAGCATTGGGTTGCAGGTGTGCCCGGTGAAGCGCTGGAGGCGGATACGGGTGTCTCAGGGCCCCGGGCTGCCCTCGGATGGGGACTCTCACCCAACACCGTCCACCGGTGCGCGTGAGCCCTGGAGGTGCCTGCGGCTCACCCTTCGACCGGTTTCCACAACCACGGGCCCGTCCTTACAATCGCGTGTAAAATTAATACTCGCCCCCCCAAAGTTGGTATCGGGACTTTAATTTCCTTAATGAAAGACTTAAAAACAAGTTTTAAACCTCAGTAATTATCTATTTAAATGAGTAGGTTTTAAAAGGTACAACACAGATATGGGGTGATGGATGATAAAGATACGAGGTAAAGAACATAAACAATGTAGAATGAAAATTCGAATGTGCTTCCCCCTCCGCTTGGGGGACCGTCACTACGGCGGTCTGTGCGCTCGTCCCCACCCGTGTGTGGGGACGACTCCTCACACCAACGTATCTGAGGAATAAACCCTGAAACGGAAATTGCTGCCTCCAAGGACGCATGCGATTGTTAAGAGAAAATTCTAGAATCACAGAAATGTTAAACTGCTCAAACCACCTCAAAAATCACAGCGGTTTGCGAGTGTGGTGTGAAGGCCGCCCCCACCCGTGAGGGAGTTGCCGTAGGGACCTGTGGCCGCCAAGCGGCTGCCCCGGGGAAGCTGGGAAAGGGCACAATGTTGCTATCGCCCCATCACGAGAATGCGTTCCCATGTTGCCAATGGTCTCAGTCATATCCTTTATGTCAAAAGGATCAGTTCAGGACATCTCATGTCCTAGCTTAGCTGTTCAGGGGCGGCCAGGATGGGGCAGGGAGAGAGGAGGGGACAGGAGAGCTGGGAGCTGGGGGCCCCTGGTTGGCATTGTGGGGTTTGGCTGTGTCCCCTCGCCCTGACATTCTAGGCCTGGAGGTTGAGCCTCTGTCCCACACTCCCCTCCCCCAGTTTCTCAGGGTGCCCCTCAGCGGTGTGGCCCCCACATTTTCTGCCCTGTGACCGCCCTGCCTTGTTCACTTGCTTGGGGCTGGCTTTCTCTCTCTCAAGACTGTGTGGCCCAATCTTGTGTCTTACAGACGAAGAAACTGATGCCCAGAGAGGGGCTGACGGTTCCCCAAGGCCACACAATGAGTTAGAGGTGACTGGCACCTCCAGGGGGAGCTTCTCACTGGGCCATCAGGGACCCTGGAGAAGTCCGGTTGGTGGGTGGGCACCAGGGGGCGGTAGAGGGTCCACCCACCTTCTCATCTTGGGGAGGTTGTCCAGGGACCAGCCTCGGCTGGGGTGTGGGGCAGAGCAAGGGTCGCTTCAGCCTCGTCCAAGAGAAGCTCAGGGTGGGAGACAGGCCTGCGGGCAGGGGCCTCCAGTCTCCCAGCTGGGGAGCGCTCCATGAGTCCCCCTGAGTGCTGGGCTCCTCTCTGCTCACAGAGAGGGGACCCCCCGGGGAGGAGGTCCCTGCCCACTGGGGAGCGCCCTCCAGCGACACGAGCCACCGGCTTCCTCTGAGGTGGCAGAGTCCAGGATTAGTGCTGGAGGCCTGCTGACCCCTGTCCACTTCGGTCCAGGCGCCCTAGGGCCCTGCAGGCCCCTGTCTGTGTCCCCGGGGCCGGCTGAGCCCTGGGCTCACTGCTGCACCTGCGTCTTTGAGATGGACATCCAGGAAGGTGAACCCACAAAAAATAGGCCCCCCAATTTATTTACAATAAATTATCTGTAAATTACAAGAAAGCATGTTTTCATCCGGCTTAATTTTTAAAACATGGATGGATCTGGAAATTGAGAAAAATCCTATCTTGGGTATCATCCTCAAAAGAAAAAAAAAAAGCAAAGCAAAGCAAAGCGGGACCAGCTGGGCCGGGAATCGCGGCCAGGGCTGGCGGAGGCGACACCTGCCCCGGTTCCCCTGGGCCCTCCAGGGCCCTTCACCACTGGAAGGACACTCGCCGACCCCTAGTGGCGTTCCTCCGCGGGTCAGAACCCTGCCAATGCACCTGTCTGCTGTCGCCCCTGCTTGCTTGGCACTCTAGTCCTTTTCTGAATGACACCGGCCCCCACCTGGCCCAGAGAGGTGCCCTGTTGGCTCCGCCCTCAATAGCCCCCCCCACCCGGCACCCCACGCTCTGCACCACTGGGGGTCCAGTCAGTCCCTGCTCGCTCTTGCAGGCCGTTCACCGAGCTGATCTGCCAGCTTCCTCTGGTGTCCTGCCTGTTAGCGTCCAGTCCTGTGCGGAGGAGCTCTGGCCACATGGAGACTGTCCTGTGTGCTCTGATGGCCACCGGCCTGGCCTGCAGCAGGCCTTTGGTGTTGGGTACACATTGCTCACAATCATAGTCATGCATTTAGAGAATGCCTTTGACTTTAACTTTGACCAATGGACATTTTCCAAACAGAGCTCTGCGCCACGTCCCCCCAGGTTGGCTGAGCTCACAGTGCCTTCCCGGGGCCCTGGGAGGGGGCTGCACAGCCCCACCGTGAACTCTGCCTCTTCCAGGGCCCCATTCTCTCCCTGCCTTCGAGGGACGTGGGTCTGTGCAGGGTCCCAGGCCAGGCCCCAGCTTGGCTCGGCCTCTTCCTCTTCCTCAAGTTGGTCTGAGACCATCTTTGTTTCTCGCTCCAGGAAGAACATGTTGGAGGAACAGTTCTCTGTTCAGAGCCCAACAGCGTCATTCCCTTGTCACTGCTTCACAAGTTCATGTGCCTGGAAATGCAGGCTCCCAGAGGTGCTGGCATGGGGACACTGGGAAGACGTCACCTGAGCCGATGCCTCACCATAGGATGCTCGTCCTCAAGGGCTGCTGTCCCCATCTCTCCTCACTTCACCCAGAACAATGACTAGGTTCCTGCTCTGGGGATCAGCGGCATCTTTAGTGGCACAACTATGGCCTTGGCTACTGTGTGTCACCAAGCTCAGGGGGACGTGTGTGCGAGTGGACCTCGAAGGTACTGAATAGAGTTTATTGACTGGGGAGGAGTCTCCCCGGCGCAGGACTGGACTTCCGGGAGGACGCACTTGGAAATGGCTGCAGTACACGGCTATGCAGGGCGTGGGCTCGAGGGCAGCGAGGTGCGGGGGCTGTAAAATCGCTTTGCCAGAGCTCCAAGTAAGAGCTCCGAAGGGGTATGCAGTAGAAATGCGAGAAAGACGTATTTATTCTGTAAGACCATCGATTCCACCAGAATCTGTTCCCCGGGAGGCCCCAGAGAGAGGATACCTCTGCTATCAATCCGCTGAGCGGGAGACTCAGAGGGCTGGCCAGTGGGGGTGGGGCCAGGACCAGGGAGGGTTCCCGCGGGTCCTGGCCGGCACGCAAGCTTCTCTGGTTGGTCAGGGAGGGCCTGGAGGGAATCGGGTGGGATGACCGGACACAGAGAGGCGTGTGTGGACCGTGGGTACCGGGGGGGTGTGAGTCTGTCACCTCTTGTCAGCAAGCGCCAGAGGCCATCTACTGTAGCAGGGACGCTGACGGAACAGGCGTGCTGTGGACATCAGCCTGGGTCCTGGGGACAGTGGTCATCATCACCTTGAAACGTCCTCTCCTCTCTTCCCTCTTTCCGGCATCCTGACCACAGGTCTACCGTTGTGTGTGTGTGTGGGGGGGTACTGCAGGGAATGAAGGTCAGGGGCATCCTCTGGGGCTGGTCCCCAACATCAAGGAGACAGGTGCTTGGTAACCAGACGACAGTTTGGTCCCTCTGGACATCCTGCCCTGGAGGATGGGAGAGTGGGCCCCGCAGGGCTAAACCCTGTGGTCAGCACAGGCGTTACAGCCCCCAAGCCCTCTTCTGGGTCATTCCATGCCGTGACTCCTCCGTACCGACAGGGGGCGAAACAGGCCAACGGTGGAGGGCGGGGGCTCATCACTAGATGCGCGGTGCCCAACCTCCTGCCCTGAAGTGGCAGCAGGGCCAGGGCGTTTAAAGCCCACAAGGTTGACGCTGCAGCTCCGGTGCCTGCATCGGGCAGGCTGCTTCTCCACTCCTAACACGGGGTACCTTCCAGTGCTCGGGGGTCTGAGCTCCCGGGGCAAGACGAGCGTTTGCGAAAGTGCAGTGCATCGCGGGGGAGATCCCCGAGCAGCGCGAGGCCTCCGTGCCGTGTGGGTGCATTCTGTGCCCAACAGAGATGAGGGCGCCTTTCACTCCCCACAAGGGGGACGCCCCCACCCCCAAGTCTACCAACCGCCTCTATTGGGGCCTGGCTCTGGCCTCAAAGCCTTTCCGTTTGCGGCCGAAGAGCTGAACGCAAACGCCTAATTAAAGGCAGGGATGAGGTTTCTTCTGGCGGAAGAATCCCCCACAGGCATGCAGGCGCTCTGCCCCCGCATCTGTCCCCTGGGTGGGGCTGGTCGTGGGCCCCCAGCCCAGGAGGAGCCAGGGGCGGCTGCAGGAACACCCGGGATTCAGGCCCTCAGCTCCTGACCCAGTCCTTCCCCGGGACCCTCAGGGGCCTGTGACACCCG